AAATAGTGAGCTGCAGGTCCTGCACCTACTCAGACTCACACTTCCACCCAGCAGCACCATTTTGTGGGGATTGAACCCAGGGCCTCGTGCCTGCTAAGCATACACAGTGGCACTGAGATACACCCCAGCCACAATTCATCTTAAGGGGGCTCAGGATGCTGACAGCATGGATCTACAGAATGAAACGACTCCTTCCCACTGTGGCTCTGATTCCTTGGTTTCACTGTTCCCCAGAGGGCCACCTTCTTGGTGACTAGATGCGCTTCTGTTGTCCCCTGAGGGTGTCCCTGAAGCCAATAGCTGAAGCTCAGACTCATGGATATCCGAGCTTGGTCTGGCATTAAGGTTGGATCCAGAGTTGCCTTTTACTTTTATTTTAGCTATTCCAGGTAACCAAGGGATTAAGTGCTTTCCTTTTCTTTTCTTCATCTTCCCTTCCACTTCCTCTTCCTTTTCCTCCCCTTCCTCCCCTTCTTCCCATTCTTCTCCTTCTTCCTGTGCTGGATATGGAACCCAGGGTCACGCACGTGAGAGAGGCAAGTGCTCTACCACTGAGCTATAGCCCTGTCCTTTTTATTTTTTTATTTTGAGATAGGGCCTCACTAAGTTTCCCAGGCTGCCCCGAAGTTGCAATCTTCCCGCCTCAACTTCCCGAGTGGCTGGCATTAGAGTCATGTGACACCACCCCTGGGTACTACTTTGCACTTCTTATGTACCCGGGGAACCACCTCACCTACCTGGGAGTCAGCTCTGCTCTAGCTCTCACTGGTAGCGTTCACCTTCAGAAGCGATCTCACAATTGCTGTCCACACAGGGTGACTACGTGGCCACCCAGGAGTCAAAGTTCTTCATCCCCCACTTTTATCTTTTTTCTTCCCAAACCTCACGTGTCTGTGGGCCAGGCCATTCAAGCAAATCTCAAGGCCAAATCACTGGTACCAGTTGCTGGTCTGGCCCTCAGGATTTCTGACCCATGGCTACAAATTGGTGCCCCTCCTGATGTTAGATCATTTGCTCAAGGGGCTGACAGAAGTCAAGGCAGGTCTTCACTTGTGTTTTCCGGTTTATTACAAAGCAGACAACTCAGGAACAGCCAAGTAAGCTGAGCAAAGCGCATCCTGGGCTGCCACCCTCCAGGACCTCGGAGGCCTCCTGGAGGCTCCTCACATCCGGTTGTTCAAGAGTGTCTCTAGGTCTCTAGTGTTCACTAGAGCTTCATCTCCAGCCCTGCCCTTCCCTGAGGTCGATGGGTTGGACTGAAAGTCCCAGCCCTCTGATCAGCTGGTCTTTCTGGTGTCGGCGCTCCTTCCTCAGGCTGTCTGGGGCCCCCCTTGAGAAGTCATCTCATTGGCATACACCCTGGTGTGATCAGAAGGGGTTCATTATGAATAACAAAACACACTCATAGTTCTCAAGAAATCCCAAGGCTTTTGAGAGTTCTGTGCCAGAAAACAGGGACAAACCGTTCCCTAGCCTGTACCTGGTTTTATGGGAGCAAGGGAGTTGGGTTTGTTTGCTATGGTAGCAGGCATGCCTGACCCTGGTTCCAAAGTGCAGCCACGATGCAACTGAGCCAGGCTGGCACTTCTCCAAGGCACAATCTCTCCTCGTCTGGAACATAACAAACAGATAGCAGTGCTCTTGGCTGGGTTGGTGGGAGGTTCAGATGATTTCTCCAGTGTTTGCTGATCTGGCCCAAGGCCTGACTGAGCCAAGGAGAAGCTTGGCAAGTGTTACCGGGAGCCCAAAGGGATGGAGAGCCCCCCACCCCCACCCCCACCCCCGGTGCACAGCCCTTCCTGCCCAAGCTCCTAGCCCCTGGGCCCATGCTCCCCACTCTGCTTCTGCCTTGGTGTGTGTGACAGCATTCAAGCAATGTCATTTTATTTTAAAACATCCCTGAGGAGGTGATCTTTGTCCCACACAGATTATTTCCAGAGACAATCTGATACAGGTCCTGCCAGCCCTGAGGTTTTAAGACCTGCTTGGGCACAGGACAAGATCCTTACACCTCTGTTCTCTACATCACACCTGGGCTCTTAACACCTTGGCCTGGGTCATGGGCCTCCATGTCCCATAGCAGCCATGGGGAGGAAAGAGAACAGAGAGGAAAGGCAAGGTGTGTCTTGTTGGAACATCAGGCAGCCTAGGCTTCTGCACCAACCCGTTTCTGTGTGGGAGCTGGCCCTTGGCCTTGCTGGGCTGTCACAGGACAAGGTGTGTGGCCAGGGGCTGGGTCGAAGAGCACCAGCCTTCCAAGTGTGTTCTCTTATCTGTGGTGTGGTGCAGGTCTGTGGCCCAGGAGTCAGAGATCTGGGGTGTGCAGATTCCAGGAGGAAATGCCATAAGCAGCTGGTGTCCTGATCACTGGGTCTCCAGGAACCACATGCCAATGGGGAGGCTCAAGGTCAGGGGCACGCAGGGTGGCCCCTTTGCTGCCCACCAGGCCCCACTGCCTCAAAGTGCAAATTACATATTGGATGCTTCCAGAGCCAGGTCTGGCCATGGAGACACAGGACTGTGTCTTTTGCACAACTACTACCCCTCCTGAGTGTGCCCCGGAGCCCACAGACATTGTACTTCATTGAAGGAGCCACTCAGCCCCCACCAGGTCTAACCTTGCTGGCTCCCAGCTGCCTGGAGTTGGGGATTTTGAGGGGACGTTCATTCACTCAGAATGCTATGCGTGTCTGGTGTGGAGATGCATAGATGTGTCTGGGTAGACATTAGCAAACAAAACAGATACAACAGCTGGTGGGCAGCTTGATGGTGAAGTGAATGTCAATACCATAAAACAAGCCCCCAAATGGATATGTGCATCCCTTCCCCCCAAGCTGTCAGCCTAGATGTACAGGGTGGCAGAGGTGAAGTAGGACTTAAAGAAAAACAAGTTAGTACTTCCCAGCCTTGGGCAGTTCCCCCTCCTAGCTATAACTCCTTGCCCTGCTATAGGTAAGACTGGCAACTACTGCTGAAGCAGAAAGATTGCAGAGTTCAAGCCCAACCTGGGCAATTTAGCAACTTAATGAGACTGTCTGCCCCCCCCCCCCGAAATCACTTAGGCCTTTGTCTTTGCATGGCCTGCCCAAGGCTGCATGGTCCCAGACACTTGTATCAGATCACAGTGAAGCTGAACAGCCAGGCTGAGGCCATTTGGGCACAAGATGGGGGTGCTGTTAGGGCTGGGGTGGCTCATGTCGTGGTTACAGCACTCTCTGTGGAAGGTTCCAGAATCTCTTCCCACTGGCAGGTGTCGAAGCACTCGGGGAGACATCGGTGAGTGGTGGGGGTGGAGGTCTGGTCTAAAGCCCATGTGCTCAGCTGCTGGGCTGTTCCATGTCCTGGGTCCTTTACTGCTCTCCTCCCATGCCTGACCTGAGGTCTGCAGTCCAGAAACAAGCAGGTGGTGACCCTCCTGGCCCCAGCGGGCAGAGGCTGTTAGCACTCGCTCTGTGACTCAGCACAATACGAAGTACGGATGAGCACAACTCAAAGGGTACAGAGCGAGCACGGTGAGCACACCAGGGACAGTGCTGAACGAGCCCTGAGGGAAGACCAGTGAGGGGACAGGCCAGCCCTGGGCTCTGGAGCTGGGCTTGCAGACAGCAGGAGGCGCAGAACAGACACTTGTTAGGACTTGCACAGTGCACGCCACACCCCAGGGTCCCCACAGCCAATGTGGACCCGTAAGGCTGGAGGCTCCTCCATTTAGGCCGCTAGGGTGCTGGGCCAGCAGGGCGCTGCCCCTGCTGCACACGGAGGGCACAGCAGGGGACCCAGGCTGCCATCCTGCAGCTCCTGGCCGGAGGTCTCCTGGAAACTCTTCCAGACCTCAGGGCGTGGCTCCTCCAGTGCTCCTGGGTCACATGGAGGAAAATACTCACTGCAGCTTGAGTCCAGCTTCTCCTCTCACTCGAAAGCCCACTCTTCCCTTGGAGGACAACCTCTCTACCAACCCTCCGACCCAGGTACCTGGCTCAGCTGCACCCCTCCTCTGGGCTGGTTCCCATGGCCACTCTGGGCTTGTGACCTTGTTCCTTCTTCCTTGCATTAGCATCCCTGCGGGGGCCTCTCCATGGCCTACCTGACCCACATAGCCCCAAACCCTTCCAGGTGGTCTACGGCTTCCAGGATCAAGTTCAGAACCTGCCGGAACCCTCTGCTGTCCCCAGAGAGCCACATGCAGTCCCCAGTTGCTGTGCCCTCTCCTCCAGCCATCCTCCTGTCCTGGGCCCCAGCCCACCCTCCCTCCTGGCTGTCTGCCATGGTGCTTTGCCCATGTGCCAGTTGCTCTGCACGGTGACCCCTCTGCTGGACCAACAGAGGTGAAAGGACACGAGCAGGGACTCCGCACCGACTGCCCGGTTGGAACTGCAGCCAGGGACCCGTGTTTGGATAACTCAGGGATGGAATTTGCTCCTAGGTTTGTCCCTCGAATCCTGAAGTGGAATCCAGGCTGTGCCTCCCCTGACATCCACTCTCCAGTCCCAGCCGTGTCTCCAGCTGCCCCCAGGGTGGAGGCTGCCAAGAATAGTATTTTGTCTCTTACACAAGCATCCCCCCGGGCCAAGGGGCCATGCCTCTCATTCTTCTTGGGTTCCTTTCTCTGGCTCAGGAAGTGGCTGCTCAGAATTATGGTGCTTAAATTAAACCATCCTCTACCAGTAGTGCATCACTTTTTCTGTTCCACATAGAAAGATCAACCATCTTGGAAAATAAGAGTTTATTTTTATACCCCTTGGCCCCCGACTACTGAGGAGTTAATGAACCCAGGACCTTCACAGAGCAACATCCCCTTCACAGAGCGACATCTGCAGCCCTTTTTTATTCTGAGACAGGGTCTTGCTGAGTCACTAAGTTGCCCAGGCTGGGCTCACTTTTGATCCTTCTGCCTCAGCCTCCCAGAGTGCTGGGATGACAGGTGTGTGTCACCATTCCTGGCTGTTTATAATCAGATGCTGGCGTGGTAATTACTGTAAACACGGAGCAATCTCAATGGTGTTAATCCGGAGGATGGTCTGGGGGTTCACGATAACTGAGAAAGAAAGAAAACACAGTCACAGGCTTGATCCTGTCTGCTGGGAATACGCTGCAGGGAGGGCCCTGACACCTGGTGCTGCTGCCTGTCCTTGGCACCAGCTTTCCCTGGAGTGCAGCTCCTTCTCAGGCAGTGTGGACCCCTCCCAACATCCCTCGTCCCACGTCACCAAGGTGTGCACTGCCTGACTGGCTCACTGGCTCCACAGGCAGCTCTGGAGGCTGGAAGGCCAGCAGCCTCCAGGCAAGGTGCTCGTTCCTGTCCGTGTCCACTTAGGCCTCTGGACTTCGATGGCCAGGAGCTCAGTGCTTGCCCCGAAGCCACCTAGGAGCACAGGAAACAGGAGAGGCTCCTGCCTGGCACAGTCTGAGCTGTTCCTTGTGGGGTGCATGTAATTTCACCCTGCTGTTGGAGGCCAGGTTGGTGACAGCTGTTGGAACCGACAACAAAGAGTGACATGCATCCACAGAGACAGGATTCTGCAGCTGCTCCCATGCCCCGAAGTCCCCTGCCTCGTGGGTGACTGGTGTCTCATGGAAGCCTCTGCAAGAACGGCCCCCATCTGCTTGTGGACAGCCTGTTCTGGGGACAATGCCAATGTCTGTGACTGGGACACGGCAGTGACATGTGGCAGGTCAAGGACAATGGGGAGAGCAAGGCCAGACCCATTGGGTGCTGCCTCCAGGCTGGGATGCGGAGAGAGGCCATTTGCACAGCATCACTTCTCAAGGGCTCTCATCACTACACAGTGTCCCATGTGAGCCCGGGCCAGCCATTGTCCAGGGTGACTCCCTACTGACCTGCCACCAACTTGCCATACCTTGGTCCTCCATCCCCTCCCTGAGCTGTCACTCAGGCTCCATCTGTGTACCCAAGGAGATGTGCAATACCCTCGGACTCAGGCCTACTCTGGACTTTGATTGTTGTCATCACCTGTGTCCGGAACCAGCCCTGGGCCGGCTGCCTCCCAACTGTGGCCCGTCTGGTGGTGCTGCTTGTCCCCTCCCTCTAGGCATACATGAGGCCTCAAGGAAGAGGCACCCAAGTGCCTCCAGCTGCACCCTCTGTGTGCCACCCCCTGCTGTTGCCCTCAGGCCTCTCCCCAGGAGGCCTGGTGGGACTCCCAACACTGGCCCTGAGGCCTCTCAGCTTCCTCTTCCTCCAGTCTCCTACCAAAAGGCACCACTACTCAAAACTGAGCCAGTCTGGCACCCAGCTTGGCCTTGGCTCGCATCCTCCTGACCATTTGTCCGTAAGCACTCTCAGAGGACACTGTGCGTGGCTGCCCCTACCCCACCACAGTGCACTTATTCTTAAAAGGCTTAATGAAGGCTGGGGATGTAGCTCAGGACCTGCCTAGCAGGCACAAGGCTCTGGGAAGCACTACAGCAATGCAAGAAAAGAAAACTCAACATAACATTGGTAAGAAAAAATAATACTATGGACTGCCTGCGACCTGACCAACTAGGATATGAGGGCTCTGCCTCCTGTTGCCATCTACAGAGCTTCTCAGCTTCCTGTTCCACTGCTGCCCTGCAGAGGTCACCACAGCCAAGGATTCTGGGCTCTTCTCCCTTTAAAACATCTCCTATTACACATGGATGTGTGAGTGTGTGTGCCCAAGAGCAAAAGTTTTACTTATCATTAGGCTTTATTTTTCCTTTTTTGCAGTACTGAGGATTGACCTCAGGATCCTTGCACTGAGCTACATCCTAGTCCTTTTTCATTTTTTGAGACAGCGTTCCACTAAGTTGCCTATCCTGGCCTCAAACTTGAGATCCTCCTGCCTTAGCCTTCCAAGTAGCTAGGAGTACAGGTGTTTGCCACTGTTGGGGTTTATATCTAGGCCCCCTAACCCCAAGCTTCCCGTGCTTGAAGCAGGGCTTTTGATAGGTGACTGAATCATGGCAGTGCTACACCTAAGTGTGATGTTAGGAGGCAGGGCCTGGTGGGAAGGGGGGGTGGGTGGGTGTGACCTAGAAGGGTGTAGCTCCTTCCCTGCCTTCCTTAGCCCTCCACTTCCTGGCTGCCATGGCGTAAGTAGCTCTCCTCCCCTATGCTCCTCCATGCCATCCTGCCTTAGAGCCAGCGGACTATGGATGGCAACGGTGAGCCAAAATAAACCTCTCCTCCTTTAAGCTGTGGGTGTCGGGTATCAGTCTGAGCAACAAGGGGAATGACTAAGACAGCTCCCATAGCTGGCTTTATTGCTGAACTTTGTAAGATGCTACTGCCCTGTTGTAACCTCAGCAGGGCAGGAGCAGTTTCTCCTCTGCTCTGCTGGACACCGTTGCACCGAGAGAACATCCCCATCCATGAGTCCAGTCTCCAGGGTGGACATCTGAATTACTTCCATTTTCCAGCATGGCCTGAGAGGCCACCGATGTCCCTCAGGTGTCTCATGGTGCATGCTGCTGTGCTGAGTCACAGTGGAGGCGAGAGTTCACAGTTGCTGTGAGGTCTGGCAGTCTGGGGAGCAAGCCCTCCCAGGGGCCCACCCTGTACAACCCTGGCATCCTCCCTTGTCCGTCCAGCCCCAGCAGCAGGACGCTGGGCAACACCACTGCAGCACAGCACAGAGGGCACATGGTCTTTCACTTACTTCTTTTCTTCTTGTAGTTTTTCCTCTTCTTAAATTGCATGTTGACTTTTGGCCATGATTCTGTCTTTTCAATGACTGTGGCTTCGACTCTAACAAGATCCTTTCTGGAAGGAAGAAAAATGAATTTTCTTGATTATTTTCTAATTCTTTTTATTTTTCCAGTACTGGGGATTGAACCCAGGGCCTTTGGTATATTAGGCAAGCACTTTCCCACTGAGCTACACTTTGGCCCTATTTTTCAGTTTTACTAATGTCTTACTAACATTCCTATGAGAATTCTTAAAATGAAGTTTTACCTTTTTTTGATTATATAGTACAAACAATGTGCCCTCACTGTAAACATTTTGAAAACTACAAGAAAGGACAAGAACAGTTCTTTGTATAAAAATTTTTCCAGGCTATAGTGTAATGAATTAGTACACCAACAGCCTGGCCTGGATGGCTCCTCACAGGACACCAGGTACCCACTGCTGTAATGCAGGAAACTGCTGTGCTCGGTGCTGCTCATCAGTGGGCACGTCTGGCCTCCACCCTCCCGACGGCACCAGCTGCAGCCTGCACACCCAGCCCCGGCCTAATAATCCTGGTGTCGTGGCGCATTACCCGAGGAGTGGCTTGCCAAGCAGCGTGAAGTTGTCCGCCCCAACCAGCAGGACCTGAAAAATGCACAAGGAGCATTTCGTCATCGACTCAGAGTAACATACAAGCCACCAAGGACAGGAGGCGATGTGGATACACTTCAAAACAAGGGAGTATGGGTTACCTGAATGTGGAACACTGGTGAGGATCTGATCTGCTATGTAAGGAATTATTTAGCATGTGGGGGGGGAGGTGGGGATTCATGCCCACAGGAGATGGGGCTATCTTATGTAAACACCCCAGGCCTTTAGAGGAAGGATAAGAACAATTTGATTACTGGATGCTATGGGTGTGCATCTAGGTAACTTGTTATCCTCTTATTTAAATTGTACTTTATTTAAAAAAACCTTTTTTCATACTCGGGATTGAACCTAGGGCCTCATGTGTGCTAGGCAAGTACTCTACCACTGTGCTACAACCCTATTTTGTTTTTTAAAAAACTTATTAAAGCATAACATGCACAAAAAAATGAGTAAGTCCTACTACAGGGTCTTTGGAAGCAGTTCACAATAATGCTAACAGTACAAAGCTATAGATAGACGGTATTTCTTGTGGGGTTTTTTTTTGGGGGGGGGTTGGTGGTACTGGGGATTGAACTCAGAGCCTCCCACATAATAGAAAGTGCTCTACCTTAGCCTTTCCTTTTAAAACATTTTAATTTTGACAGGGTCCTGCTAAATTGCCCAGGCTGGCCTCAAACTTGCAATTCTCCTGCCTCAGCTTCCCACATAGTTGGGATTACAGGCGTGCACTACTATGCCCAGCAATTATTTTCATTCATTCACTTATTTAGAGACAGGTTCTCACTACATAGTCCAGGCCTGTCTCAAATTTACAGCAATCCTCCTGCCTCAGCCTTCCAAGTGCTAGGATTATAGGTGTGTGTCATTACATTCGGCTCGTATTCTTTTAATGACTCAATTCCATGCAAGCAGGCAAACATTCTCAGTGCAGGGGCAACTGCAACATTAAATTGCATCCACAGAACTTAGCAAGACCCCGTCGGCAAAATAAAATTAAAAGGGCTGTGGTGTAGCCCAGGGGAGAGCACTGCTTAGGATATGTGAGGTTCTGAGTTCCAACCCCAGAACTGCAAAACAGCAACAACAAAAAACAAAATGTGGCCACAGATGAAGACACCTTTGTACTGTAAGTGGAGTAACATTTTCATTAGATTCTGGAAGATTTCCTCATGTTTTACTGGTAAGGAAAAAATCCAGGAACACTAAATTTAAATGTCTAAAGACAAAAGAACATCAATGAACAATGCATATTAGATAATGTAAATAACTATTTGGGGGCAGGGTTGGGAATAGAACCTAGGGCTTCATGCACACTAGGAAAAAAATAAATATACATACATATATATGAGTTAATTTGAGCATGAAATATTCTATACTTCAGGATTTCCTAAATTATGCAAAACAATCTAGGTGAGGCTTTCTACAATTTTGGCTTAATATTAAGTGTTTCAAAATACAGTATCCTTGGGTTTGCGTTTGAGAATGACCCGCAGATTCAACCAAGCATGGAATGAAAGTATTTGGGAAACAAAACAAAACAAAACCCTTTAACCCTACTGAACACACACAGGCCTTTTATTCTCAGAACAAAGTGTTATACTGACTACTTACACAGCACTTAGATGTTAGGAGCTGTGAATCACTGAGCACAGGAGGATGTGTGCATATGCCATGCAAACACTATACCATCTTACAAGGGAACTGAGGGCATTTTGGGTCCTGCAACCAATCTCCTCTCAGACACATACTGAGACATGACCATAATGTCTTTTGAAAAATCTTCACACTACTATGTCCTCACGATGAATATATTCATTATGTACAGCAAACATGTACAAATACAAAGTAAAAAAGTAAAAAAATATGCACCCTACTTATTTTGTTTGGTTTTTGGTGCTGGAGACCCAGGCCTTGAGCATGCTAAGCATGTACTCTTCCACTGATCTACACACCCAGCCCAAGTACAGTCATTTTTTTAAGGTCTAAAATAAGGACTGGGCATCATGGCACACACCTGTAATTTCAGCACTCTGGAGGGCTGAGGAAGGAGGATTTTGAGTTTGAGGCCAGCCTGACATACACAGTAAGGGAGTGCAGCTCACTGTAGAGTGTTCAGGGCTCTGGATCTGATCCCCAGCACCAAAAAAAAAAAAGGTACTTGTGTTGTTGAGCTCACTACAGAGTCACTTAGTTTCATGGTCTAATCACTAAGGAAGGATTGTTTTAGAGAATCATACATATTGCTTTTTTTGGTACCGGGGATCGAACTCGGGTCCTTGCACATGCGCAGCAGGCGGCAAAACCACTGAGCTAAATCCCTGGCCCCATATTGCTTTTATAATTAAATATGTCCTAGAAAAATTGCAGGGGTCATTATAATGTTATAAATAGAGAAGGCAAAAATCAAACAGACCTCCAAACACAGCATCAGAATTATAACTGAAGGCCAGGCTGCTCAGCTGACCTGGAGGATCAGTGGTGTTGCCTGGCTGCTGAGGCACACGAGCGCCCGGGAAGAGCCCCCATGGGGCCCCCACCGTTTAACAAGAGCAGCCATCAAATCTGATGCCAGAGCAGTGTATTACCAGAAACTTACCACTTTATCCCATGGGTGGGGTCTGAAAAACTCATTCCATCCTTATCTGGGATTTTACTGTATTCATGATCAAACATTCTGCTAGGGAACTGATTAATGAGATATCTCAAGGCAAAGCAATACACATATTTTCATCCTCAGAGAAATGTGCCGTTTCCCTTGAAGGAGTCAATCTGCAGGGCCAGGTGCAATCCGTGCTCCCCCTACCTCGCTGCCCTGCCCAGCCAGGTGGCCTCCATTGCAGAGTTGGGGACACCTCCTTGGTGATGTACTGGGGAGTGGGGATTGCTTGTTTGGTTATCTAGTCTCTTAGTGGACAGACATGTGACAGCGTCACCTTCTCCAGCCGGATCCTCTCTCCACACTTGATATCTAATTCATTTTCAATTAAGATCAGGTCTTCGGAGGTCACTTTCCACTGGTGGCTGGCAAAGTGCACAACAGCAAAGAGCCGGCCGTACTGGCCAGTGGCAATCAGCTCATTCACCTTCTTCACAACCTCTGCAAGGGAAGCAGGTGGCAGTCACCCCAGCTAGAAAGGCACTGCCATCTCACCCTGGCCCTCCCGACCCCTTTCTGCTGCAGGGCTGCAGGGCTCCAGCCCCAGCTTGCCCACCCTGTAGCACACATGCTCTGGACAGGTCAGGCCTCAGGGACACTGGCAGGTTGAGAGATGGCAGTCCCGTCAGCCTTCACAGCAGACCCAAGTCACTTCGTGGGGCTTTCTGGCCTGAGGAATCAACACACCTGGCTTCACCCCTACAGCTCCAAGTGGGGAAGAGTTCCCATCTTGTCTAACTGTGTTCATTACTAATGAGGAGCAGTGGGCTGGGGAGTGTGTAAACCCTGAGATGGACAGAGACGTCTGTGCACCCAGTGTTACATCCTGATGGGCTGGGTGTCTCGTATAGCCCCACACGGCACCTTCCCTGCTTCTGTCATCACTGCCTCATTCAGGTCAGTTTCCTCCTCTCTGCATCCTCTGCTCTGAACAGGCACTCACTGTGCACCAAAGCCAGCCTGGCCTAGGGCCGGGAACACAGGAAGGACCTGACAGTTCCTGCCAGGAAACGGAGTCAAGGCCAGGAACTGCACTGGGCATCAGGGCCAGAACTATCAAAACACAGTTGGTCGCCCATGTTCTTGGGTTCTGTACCACAGGTCCAACCACTCTCAGATTGCATGTACCATCTTCATGAAAAACCTGTGCTTATACTGAATACATAACAGACTTTTTTATCATTATCCTCTAAACAGTACAGGAGAACAACTATTTATATAGCATTTCCATTGTATTAGCAATCTAGAGATGATTTAAAGTATACAGGAGGATGAGTGTAGGCTATTTGTAAATACTATGCTTTAAAAATTTTTTAAAAAAAAATTTTGTTTTTTTTTGGCAGTATTGGGATTGAACCCAAGGGCTCACGCATGCTAGGCAAGTGCTCTACAACTGATCTATCCCCAGTCCCTTTTTATTTTTTTAAGACAGGGTCTCACTAAGTTGCTCAGGCTGGGCTTAAACTTGTGATCCTTTTGGCTCAGCCTCCTGAGTAGCTGAGTTATAGGCATGCACCACCATGCCCAGCTACTCTGCCATTTTCTACGACTTGAGCACCTGCTGATTTTGTGACTTTATTTATTTATTTATTTATTTATTTATTTATTTACTTTTGGGTACCGGGGATTGAACTCCGGTCCTTGCGCTTGTGAGGCAGGTGGTGGAACCACTGAACTAAATCCCCAGCCCTGTTGACTCTGGTATCAGGAATTCCTGGATCCACATCCCCAATGGGTACTGAGGGGCGACTGCACGTATCTTGAACAGTATCTGGAACAGTATTTTAAATACTAGAAGATCATAATGCGAATCCCAGCTTTTTGGAAAAGTGAGGATCTGGCTCTACCACACAGAAGCAGTGGCTGACCATGCTGCCCCTCCTCACACAGCTCCAGGCTGCACAATTCCCAACATCGGTACATTTCTCTAGTGTCCAGGGGAGGGCTGCTTCCTCCATGAGCAAGTGCCCCTGCCCTCCTGACTGGGCAGAGCTCTGCCTCTGAGCCAGCAACTGTGGGAGACAGAGATGGACTGAGCCCCAACTGCTCTACCCCCATCACCTACCTACAACATGGCCAAGGCTCGAGGACTCTGTTAAAAGAACGAGCATTTTAAACTTTGGTGTTTACTTAAAAAAAAAAAAAAAAAGAAAAAGAAAGAAAGAACACGGGGTTTACATGGTGCTATATTGCAGAGCACCCAGGAACACCCAATCCTGCTGTGTGGGAGTCACCACCATGGTGGCTGGCTGCAGCATGGTGCCAGATGCCACCCTCTTGTTGCTACTCCCTGAAAAGTCTTTCTTTACCTGTGTGATGTCTGGTCTCCTCAGCTGGATCTGGCAGAACAATTTCTGGCCAAGGTGGAAAACTCAGGGACGTTTTAGGAACATAACTGTAAAAAATATTTCATAAATACATGTCACATGCATGTGAAAGATTGCTCAAAGTCCCTAAGAGTAAGTGCACTAAGTGCTAGAAGGACAAGGATTTGAGTTCCAACTCAGGCCCTATATGTTCAACGCACCTGCCAGGGATGCTGCCTCACAGCCAAGGTGAGCTGTCCTCTCGCACACACAGAACGGGCCGAGGTGCTGGGGAACTTGGTAGTATGACTGTGTACATGTGTGTGTAAGCTTGCTACTGAGAGGGTGAGGGGCTTGGGCAAAGCCAACACTGGCTCTTTAGGACCTTGCCCCGCTTTGGTGTCATCTTGAGGACAGGATCCCATGTGACGCCGTAGAACTACAATGCATTCCAAGAGTGTGCAACTGGCCACTTCTAACAGGAGTTCTAAGCACTGTTCCACAGGGAAATGCGCCAACCTCCATGCCTGGGGCTGGGTTGTCTGTGCCAGTCACTGGCATGCAGAAGTGCTCTGCCCACACCTTTCCTACTCTGCTAGGTCTCAGAGCCTCTAGGAATGTCAACTGATGCCCAGCAGTGACCATGAGAGATGAGGAGCTGGAAAGAGTTGTCCTCTACACCTCCGTCCCTCATATTGTATTGTTTCCTTGACTGGGTTCGGTAAGGCCCAGATGAAGACTATGGAAAGAACCATGGAAAGAACACGGGAGAATGATGCCTGGCGGAAAGGCTGGGGCCTCTGACATAGGAAATTAGAAAAAGAGGGCCTATCTGATCTAATGCCACTTGGGATTTCTTCTTATCTTCAGACTTGGTTTTTCAACTTCTCCTGTTTGAAGCAAAGAGCTTCTTGTGTTCCCTGCTGCTCAGAATCCCGGTGTAGCCGGCAATCTTTGCTGGAGCTATATGCCAGGTGGTATATTGAACTCACTTACTTGTTTTTGCAGTGCTGGGGATTGAACCTAGGACTTTGGGCCTGCTGGACAAATGTCCTCCTACCAAACCATATGCCTGGCCCTTGTTTTAGGCCTTTGAATGTCTGCCTTTGCAGAATTCTCACTAACCTGCATGGAGACAGGCACCTGTACTGCCTCACCTGGCAGTAGCTGAGTGAGGCCCTATGGCAGGCTGGGTGTCCCTGGCCATGGGGCATCCAGGACTGGAACCAGGGGCTTCCTGCTGGCCTTTCTACACTGTGCTGCTCCTGCATCTTCCTACTGCTGAGTGTAATTTTGTCCAATTTACTTTCTGTAGTTTACATTAAAAATTATTTTGTAGGTATGAAATTTTAGTATATGTGCTGCCGAAGAGAGCACTGTAGGTATGAAATTTTAACAATGAAGATGGCTTTTTGAATTATACAAGTTTTCTCTAGAGATTCTTGCAACTCAAGCTTCTTGGTCTGAAATTCTGAATTCAGACCTAAAGCTGTCTGTGATGAAAGCCAGCAATATAGGCCAGGAACACCTTTCTCTCTAGATTCCTGTGTCTATACTTAAGGTCTGAGAAAAATACTGTCAAAAAGTTGTAAGAAAATTTAAACATTCTCAAACCCCCAAATGTAGAGCCAGGCATGTGGTACACAACTGTAATTCTAGCTACTTAGGAGCGTGAGGCAGAAGGGCCACAACTTTGTGGCCAGCCTGGGCAATTTAGAGACCCTGTCTCAAAATAAAAAATAAAAAGGGCTGGAGATATAGCTTGGTGGTTCAGCACCGTTATGCTTGATCCCCAATACTGTAAAGCAAAACAGACAAAACTTAAATGTAGGAAGTTTTGAATTAAGAAAGTTCTACAGATGAAAGGAAGAGTCACCAAACCCACATTTTGATATTACCCTGGTGGAAATGAAGTGCTCTGTGAACTGAACCTTTGAGCAGCAGACCAGAGGGAGGCTGAGGAAACAAGAGAAACAAGGTCATTACTACCACAAAATGCAGACTGTCCCTAGTGATGCTGATACTCGCAAGGTCTGCTACCCAGGTTGCTTAAGAAAAATCCAGGCAAACAGAACTAAAAGAGCTTCACTTAGTCATGGGTTGTGTATGTCAGGATTGTGCACATGGCATCCAGCAGTGTCTACAGCCAGAGCCAACCCTATACACCCCTTCCATGACCACCAAGCACACACTAGGTCCAGACCCTGTTAGCGGTGCTCAAGTGTGAGTGCAGCCTGCAAGATGACTCAGGGAGCCCTGCTCCATGTTCTTACCCATGAGCTGTCCCTGCTGCGAGGTGGTCTCTGTGACCAATAGCTCATGGCAGAAGTGATGGGAGAAAGCTTCCAAGACTAGGTTCTGAAAGACTACAACTTCCATTTTGGCTGCAGTTCCCTCTGATCTGGCTGTAGGCATTGCCACACTACGAACAGGCCCACGTGGTGAGGAACCGGGCTGTGGCCAGCACCCGCACGTGAGCTTACAAGTCAGTTTTTACAAGTTGGTAATTACTGTTTTTTAAAAAGTTGAGCTGTGATTTCTCTACTAGGAAATTCACCATTTTAAAGCTCATTCACTAGCAGTTGGTCCTCCACAGCTGGTTTCTCTTTTCCCTCTCCGAAGCCTGTGTGACTTTGCCCTTGGACTTCACTCCTTCTCCATCTATGGTGATTCCTCTGGTGATTGCATTATCAGATGGGTCCTTTATATGCTGGTGACTCCTGAGTTTATCCTCCGGGACTCCATTCCTGGGCCTCCCAACCACCTATGTGCCATTGCCACCCGTGTCTGGTGGGTATCTCAAGCCAAAGGCCTAGATCTCTTCCCACGAATGCTTTTCCCATGCTCCTCCCCACTCTACATGATGCTAAATCAGATTACCTGCAGCTCAGGCCCCAAACTGCCATGATTTATAATCATTCTTTCTCACACCCCTATGGCAACCCATCAGCAAACCTGGTGGCTCTCCCTTCAAGGAGCCCAGGAGTTAACTGATTTACTGATTCACTTACTGATTTACTAGAGGCCATCACCTGCTGTCACCTAGATTATGCCAAATGCCCTGCTCTCGCCTCCCTTCTCCACACAGGATTCTGTTGGAACTTAGGTCAGACTACGTCACCTCTGCTGAAACTACGTAGTAGGCACTTCACTCAGTGAAAACACCACAACTCTTACAGTGGCAGGGCCACACACAGGTGAGATTTACAGGAAAGCAGATAGGGTGAAAAAATGTGCTGAGCTTTCAGCAGTGGAACACTGAGGTCCTGGTCACTGGAGTGTTTCAACAGAGGCTCCATCTGATGCTTTAGCAAAATTCCATGCATTCACCATTCATTAAGCACCTGCTACTTGTTAGACACCAGCCTAGGGGTGAGAATAAACCAGTCGTAAATAAAAAACCAAAAATTCTGCTTTTAGGGACCCTAAGGTTCTGATGGTCGGACCTAGACACATGTGGCGGGGCAGCGGGGAGAACCGCTCTTCTCCCTTCTTCCTTTCCTCGACCGCCCCGGTCTCACCTGAGCTGGGCCCCGATGGTGTCAAAATGCTGCGGCTACACGCACGCACCAGCCGCCCCAAGGTGCCCCACCGGGCCGGAGACGCCTGGGCCATCGCCATCTTCCCGCAGCCGGAAGCGGAAATGGCACAAACCTTGTGCGCTGACGCACGGGCCCGACGTAGAGCGGGAGTGCGGCGGGGAACACGGGTCCGCCGGGGACTCCGGCAGGCGCAGGAGCGGGCACGTGACGGCGGCTGCGATGGCTTCGGCCGCTGTGGAGACCTTCGTGAGCAAGCAGTTGTACCTGCTGGAGCTCGAGAGGGATGCGGAGGTGCAGGAGCGCAGGTAGGGGCTGCCGCGGGCGCCCTCTTGGAGTCCGTCTTTCCGAGAGGCGTCTGCTCCCCAGTCCTGCTGCGTGGTCACCTGCAAGGATACAGCTCAGCGCCTTTGGGCAGCCAGTTCTGGCGGGGCCAAGAAGCCTCTGCCCTCGACCCAAAGCCCTGCTCCCGAACGCGCTCCCCTGGGTGCTGGGCTTTCCTAGCCCGGTCCCCGCAGTGTTCCGGTCGTTTCCCTCAATCGCCCGCTCAGCGAACGTCGCTTGCGCCTGCTCCTTGCCAGACCCCGGCAAGATGAGGAAGGTGCAGGGTCTGGCCTTGAGAAGGTCGAGGGGAGGCCAGGTGGTGCCTGAGCACAGCCTGGAGAAAGACAGACTTTTAGCTTGTGGAAAGGTGGAGGAGAGTTCCTGAAGGAGATTAGAGAGAGAGCTGGACTTGTTTCTGAGGGATATCCATTTGCTGGAGCAAGAACTAGCACTTCTGTGCTTTAGCTGTGTTAATCCCTTTCAACCTCATGCCAGTCCCACAGTTGTCATTTCCTGTCTAAAGAGAGGCAAACAGAAGCTGAGAAACTTGCCCGAGCTAACATATGTGGAGTCAGGATTTGAATTCAGGCAGATTCCAGACTCAACCTTTGACTGAGAGGCTTTTGACGGAGATGGGTGAGAGCTTTTGCAGTCACGTGGACCTTGGTAGAATCCCAGCTCCTACGTTTGTGGCTGTGTGACTGTGCAGATATCTCGGAGCCTTACTTCATCTGCACAACCCAGGTGATTCCCACCCCGCAGGTTTGCTCTGAGAACGAAACGATCTGAGTCAGGTGCTCAGCACAGTACCAAGAGGACAGAGTAAGCTCCTGTGACTCTATTTTCTCATCTATTTCTGATCGTGAATAATAGATGGGCCAAGACCAGGCTGAGGATCTTGGGTCTTGCTGAGGAGCTTGTGTTCTATTCTGTGCACAAGAAGGTTAAGCAGTAAGGGAGGTGACTAGATTGGCATTTTAGGAGGACCTCTTGACGGCTGTTGCTGGTAGCTGGATGGGGGAGCCCAGAGGTAAGGCAGTTAGGAGGCTGTGTCTAGGTTAGGAAAACAGTAATGTGCCCTTGAATGGGTGTCCAGGATGAGAGGCAGAGAGGGAGTCAGGGTCTAAGGGGCCCGTTAGGACTTAGTGACAGATGGGTATTAGGACTCGGGAGTGAAAGCAGGGAAGTTAAGGGTGTGATGGCTCTGTCCTTGTAACCTGGAGAAAGGTCGGGCAGTAGCTTCCCTAGAGGTATAAGGGGAGCACGTTAGGAGATTCCGAGTTCTGTTCTCTTGGGGCATGTTTGGTACAGAGATCTTCATCTTTCTTTCCCAGTGGCCTTTCCTGTGTGGGTGGAAATAGAAACAGGAAGGCAAAAATCCTGAAGCAGTCCTGGGTGTCTTCCAGGTCCTGGCAGGAGAACATCTCTCTGAAGGAGCTGCAGAGCCAGGGCGTGTGTTTGCTGAAGCTGCAGGTGTCCAGCCAGCGCACGGGGCTGTATGGACGACTGCTGGTCACCTTTGAGCCCAGGAGATGTGGATCTGTGGCAGTGCTTCCCAGTAACAGCTTTACTTCCGGTGTGTGCATTTTTGACAATCATACATTGGACATTGCTGGCCTCCAAACTGTGGGTTGTGCTCTCCCAGAGACTGGATAGCAGGCCCATCAGGAGAGTAACGCATCGCAGTGAAGAACCCTTCCTAAGAAGTCCAGTAATATGTGGGGCCATTTGGTTGTTCAGATCAGAACTGTCCAAATGGGGGCCACTAGATGTGTGGGGTTATAGAACACTTGGCAAGCAGCCAGTGGTTGCTGCAGGTATGAAATACATACCTGAAGATTTGGTTAAACAGTAGTATCTCAAGTGTAATTTTTTCCCCCTTGATTTTGCAATATTGAAAGTTAAACCCAGGGCTCAGATGGTAGGCATGCGCACTCGTGCTGAGCTACATCCCAAGTTCATTCTTTCTCTCTCTCTCTCTGTCTCTCTCTCTCTGTCTCTCTCTCTCTGTCTCTTCCTTCCTTCCTTTCATACTGGGAATTAAACTCAGGGCCTTGTGCTTGCCAGGCAGCACCTGGGTCACTGAGCTACATCCCCAGCCCTTTATTTTTTTTATTTTTGAGACAGGATCTTACTAAAGTTGCCCAAGCTGGCCTTGAAATTATGGTTTTCCTGCCTCAGACTCCTGAGTAGCTGAGATTTTGGTCATATGCGACCATCCTCGGCCTAAGAATAATTTTTTGAATACTATTGAAATAATATTTTTCATGAGTTGGGTTAAATAAAATTATTAAAATAATTTACCTGGTTCTTTTAACTTTTTGAATATGGCTCTCAGAAAATTTAAAATTATAGGCAACTCTCGTTATATTTCTATATAATTAAAAGACTGAACACACCGAATGTGCAGTTCTGGATCCCAGACATTTCTTTGTCAAGCATGCTTTGTCTAAGCTCATGTCGGCCCTGTCATAAAGAAGGGACAGTGTGTGTGTGTGTATACATGCATGTGTGGTATTGGGGATGGAATCCAGGTCCTTGAACATGGTGGGCAAGGACTCTGCCACTGAGCTACATCCTCAGCCCAAAAGAAGCTTCTTGACCATACACCCAGGATGCTCAGCCCTAGAAACCTAGAGCAGCAGTCTTGCCCATGCTTTCCTTTTCACGATAAAAGTCTCTGCCTTATTTTTGTGGCAACAGAGTTTTTGATTTCCTATTTTGATTTAATAGATTCTTGCCAGCAACTGTTGGGATCCTGGCTGGACTTGGAAAGATGAGGGGAGGAGTGAAGTAATGAAGGGAACCTGCTGGCAGGAGTCAGATCTGAGTAGAACTTGGGCTCTTAGACCTGCCTGTCATGCGGACTAAAGTCAGTCCCTCCCTCTCCCAAGACTGGGAGGAGTAGCAGCTGTGGCATCCTGTCAGGAAGAGTCTGTGCAGGAGGTGGGCACATTCTGAAAATGCAGAGGTGAAGATACATATTCATGTAGTTAGTTAGCATTGTGCAGTGACCGACCCACAGGGTCAATGAGTGGTGGATAAACAGGAAGTCAGGGGAGGTAGCCTTTGGGTGGGAAGGCAACAAGCTGAAATTTTGATCCATTCAGGCGGTGTGGTTATTGACCCATCTTCTGGGAGCAGTCTTAAGTCTCAGCAGCTCAGACATAAATCCTGAAATACTACCTGCTTCTGTGTTCGAATTTGTATGTACACAGTCCTGTGCAGGACAGCATGGGAAACTTGTGTGGGAGCCTCTGCTCAACCCTTGGGACCATAGTTGCCATTTACTGTTGGTCTTTGTGAAGTTGGAGAAGCAGATGGGGAAGAGCCAAGGTGCAGGTGAAACTTGCTGCATGGACTGCAGGGGTGAATGGGGTGTAAACAGAGGTGGACAGCCCTGGCTTTTATCGCTGTGTGGCTTCTGAGCCAGTTGGCAGAAAGGGGACGAGCTGGTGGTTGTAATGTGAAGCCTGGCTGCGTGGCCCCCAGGAGGATGTCAGGGCTTAGTGTCTGGCCTTTTCGTGGCTCTGCTGTCTTTTGGGTGTGTTTCCTCTCAGACACAGCATGAGAGCAGTGTTGGTCCTGCTTCCTCTCAGCTTTGTCTAGCTGGAAGGGAGAGATGCCCAGGCGAAGTCTCATTGCATCTCAGGGTCTGTTTTGGCCACAGGCTCATCCCTGAACTCACACTGTGGCCAGGGCCTGGGAAACATGGCTTGGTTGAGGTGTAGTCAGGGAAGCCCTCCTGGCTCCCCTGGTGGAGGGTGACAGTGCAACTGTCACAGGCAGAAGGGAGAGTGTGCTGTGTGGGCAATGAGCAGCCCTTGCCCCTCCATACAGATGTCCCATTGCTGCCTGGAGGATTTTCCCCTTGGGCTCCTGGCCTTGTTTCCGAAAGTGCTTGTTTCCACCCTGCTGCCCCCATTCCCAGGGAGCCCTTCTCCCTCGAGCCTTGTAGAATTGTGTGCTGTCCCTCTCCATCCCCTTCCTGTGTCTCATTGCTCCTTAGAGTACTTGGCACTGAGCTCTGGCAGATGGTGACATTTGTTGTTTCCTTCCTAATCTCAGGGCCAGGATGGGTTTTATTCATGATCTTGAATAGTGTGTTGACTGTCTTGCTTGTTTGAGCAGTTCATTGACCTCAGGTAGATTTGCACATGTGATTTAGTGGTCATCGTTTCGTTTTTACAGCTTCTGGTTTCATTTGTTATAGGAACTAACAAGGTGGGCTGGGGACACAGCTCACTGGTAGAGCACTTGCTTAGCACATGCGAGGCCCTGGGTTTGATCCTCAGCACTGCAAAAAAAAAATCTAAAATTAGTCTTTTTCAGTGTTTTATACGACTGAGTTTTGGGTTTTGCAGGTGATATCGTGGGTCTGTATGATTCTGCTAATGAAGGCGGGCAGCTGGCCACTGGGATCCTGACCCGTATCACCCAGAGATCCGTCTCGGTGGCCTTTGACGAATCCCATGACTTCCATTTGACCTTGGACCGGGAGAATTTGTACAGATTGTTAAAGCTTGCCAATGATGTCACTTACAAGCGCCTGAAGAAGTAAGTGTGTGTGGCTGGAATCAGACCAGGTGTTTTCCTGAAATACGACCCTCTTGCTCCCACTGGGTGAGAGAGCGACACCTCTCTTGCTCAGCAGCAGAACCAGCATTTGGTTACAGATTGTTGTGTGCCCTCTGGGAGATGGTGGCCCTGAACTGCTGGCTGCCAGCTCCTCACTTTGGCGCTCTATCTTCACAGAGCCCTGGTAGCTCTGAAGAAGTACCATTCTGGACCTGCATCCCCGCTCATCGAGGTCCTCTTCGGCGGATCTGCCCCCAGTCCTGCCCAGAAAATATGTGAGAACTTTTAGGTTTTTAATTTTTTTAAATTGAAATTGCTGTGGAAATTATCAAGGACAATCTGAGTCGTTTTAGCAAGAGTTTGAGGATGTACAATTAGAACACTGCTGTAGTATCTGTGGATACGTGTCTGAACGATTGCATGGCCTAAGGGCCTTTCCTGGCGCCCTCATACTGAAGAAGCAGCTCATCCTACTGAGTTTTCAGACAGTGTTCTTTCTAACATCTAAATTTTAAATTTTGAAACATGAGACTCTCTCTTCCAGCTCAGCATTCTTTAAATTTGCCATAATTTATTTCTGATTATGAGAGTAATCATGTGATAATCATAGGAGATTTAGAATAAAAGAAACATGTGAACAAGGGAAAATGAATCACTCAAAACCTTGCCGTGGGGCTAGACATGTAGCTCAGTGGTAGAGCACTTGCCTCACATGTGCCTGGCTTCCATTCCTGGCACTGCAAAAAATGAAGTAAAATGTAAAAACCCCTGCCATGTAGTTTGCCTCCCTAGTATTGTTTGTGCGAATTTTTGTAGTATTTTTTTCCTTATCCCTTTTTTACACACACAGACACACCCCCGAGGACCTTCCTCTTCTCACCTACAGTAGCCTGTACATGTTCTCATAGCTTTCAGTGTTCTTGAAGACTGCATTTTTAAGAGGAGTGTATCATCACAGCAAATGGCCACCCATAATTTAACAGCCTTTCAGCTATTAGACTTTTGTCACTTTTTAAAGTGGTGGCTTTGGTCAGGTCTAATACAAGGGTCGCCCACATCCCTTTTTTCAGGAAGTGCTGAGGATCGAATTCATGTTAAGCAAGTGCTGTACCATTGAGCTGTACCCCCAGGCCCCATTTTTATGATACCAGTGCTTTTACACTCCAGTTCATGCCAGTCTTAAACACAGTTGCTTTGTAGCATTTTGAGTTTGCAAGTTCCTCCAGGTGAATTGTTTTGTAAATACTCTTTTTCTCTCTATTTTCCTGTGGAAATTGTGAAACGACTTGCATTTCAGTAATATTTTTGCCAAATATTTGTTGCAGGGCTACTGTGAGCTGGAAACTGAATTAGAAATCTGTTTGCTGTGTTTAAGGCTGGTGGCATGTGTTGAGTATGGCTGTTGTCCAGGGAAAAGCATGCTGTGTGGAATAGCAGAATGTGGATGGGAACTTCTGGCCATTTGTTCCCCCAGTTCTGCTCTTAGGACAGTTTTGCCTGTTGGTTTTGGTCTCTTGTTTCCAGATTAGCACCTTTTGCTTCTGAGCTCAGCGTGCTCATCTGTGGGCGTCTCTGTGTAGCACGTACCAAGTAGTGGAAGCTGGGGACAGAGCTGACCCTGATACCTGTTCTCAAGAGCACAGAGCATAATGAGCATGCCATTTGTCATTTGCATATTTCATGATCCAAATAGAAATGCCCTGGAATTTCTATGTGGTGGTGGGGTGTGTGTGTGTGTGTGTGTGTGTGTGTGTGTGTGATTTGTCATTTGATAGGCACTTAAAAGGGATGAAATGGTTCCAAGAAACATTTCCTTCATTTAGAGGATGAGTTGGCAGACTTTTTCCATGAAGGAATAGATGGTAAATATTTAGCCTTTGGGGACGTACAGTCTGTTTGCAACTCTTCTCTTTGATAGCAGCCACAGACAGTATGGGACCAACATGGGCGTGGCTATGTTCTGGTAAAACCTAGGAAAATCGGCAGCAGGCCGGATGTGGTGCGTTTTGTTGACTCCTGTTCTAGGAGAAGTCTTCTTTTGAAGACAGCAGGCTAGTTCTGTCCTGGATGGACCCAGCATGCTCCTGTGTGCTCTGCTTATTCCTGTCTGTGCCTGCTCTGCAGGGAGGAAGGCAGGTGACAGAATGCAAGGGTCTAATGCTGTTGCTTCTTCTACAGCCCCACTGACGTTCTACAACACCACCCTGGATCCCTCTCAGAAAGAAGCAGTTTCATTTGCCCTGTCTCAGAAAGAACTTGCCATCATCCATGGACCTCCTGGCACCGGGAAAACCACGACCGTGGTGGAAGTCATTCTTCAAACTGTGAAGCAAGGCTTAAAGGTGGGTAGCAGATGCTGCTTTATTGGTACCTGCTGCCTCCTGTCGCTTGTATCTCAACTGCAGTCGTGGTGGCTTTGGTCAGGAACCTTACTTGGCCTTTGGAGAGTGTGGGGCCAGATGGTTTTGGATTTCCACTAGTCCCACAAGACGAGAACTCTGTGGTAGCCCCTGTCTCAGCATGTCAGAGGGAGAAGTTACAGAAGCCTTTGTTGTGGACCAGGGCCTACCCGGGCTTAGTGCCCCATTCCTGCTGGGCTCCTGCTCTGTGTTCAGGCCCGGGCTGGGGGCATGGCATTTGCCAAGGCCTGATCTGTGCTCTCTGGGAGCCCTGTGTCTGCGTGAAGGAGATGGTGGAATTGCAGTTCATCAGGTAGTCTGGTTAATCAGTGCAACACACATGTGGTACAGATTGCTGATCGTGTGAAATGTAGATTATAACATTTCACCTTTTTTTAACATCTAATTTTTATTTTTATTAGTACATGTTTGCCATACATAAGCGTTACTTCATCGTGGGAAATTGGAACATGTAAATACACATGTTAATTCTTTTTACATCCCCTCTTTCCATCTCTTGGTCCTCTTTCCATAACATTTTACATTATCGTCTACTTACATTGGTAGTGGTTGAGAAAAGATCTTCTGTCCGCATCTGTGTCCACATGAGTCTTTATGGATCAAAGCACGTGGGAACTTTAAAAATCTGTCCTGGTTCATCAGAATGTTGGGTAACGATGAGAGTCTGAGTTGTGACACGTGGTGCTCATAGGCTGTACCCCTCCTGGTGCTGTCCATGTGCCTACTCATTGCTTGTGAAAACTGCACGAGCCGAGACTGCAAACCTGCCTGGTTCATAGCCAAGGAAAGCAAGAAACAGGCTAAGGGCCCAGCTGCTCAGCAGTGAGTGGCAGAGGCAGGAGCTGATTGTGCAGAGCCACTAGAAACCTGTCACTCAGTTAAAAAGCTTTGTCGAAGGGTTTCCTACTAGGGAGTGTCTTTTCGGCTGTTTGAAAACTTTTAAGACAAGATGGCTTATAGGCAGGAAGCAGATTTGGTGCTTTAATCAAGTGCCTCTTATTTCAGTGCACGGAGTGAAATGGGACGCACTTGCTTATGAACTGGAGTGTCCAGGTGCCTTTGGCTACATCAGTGAGGTGGAGGCAGCATGCAGGAGAAGGTCAGGGTACACAGGGGCTTTCCTTCCTGCTGCTGTCTCATCCTCTTAGCAGCAGGACTGCAGTTCTGGAAGTGAGCTGGAGCCCTGCAGAGAGACACCCCTCATTTGTTTTTACCAGGTGATAATACAGTTTGATTGGTGATATGATGGGCCCCCCAGCTCCTGATTATTTTGGGGCACTTGAATCTTTTGGGTCTTCTGTCCAGTTGCAAGTCACTTACCTTGTTTTGGTGCTTTGGTGACCGAGAGGTTTTGAAGATACAAGGTTTGGTTATGCAGATGTGGTGTCGGTTTGCAGTGACTTGTGTCTTTGGGCTGTCCTCACCCTGGCACACTGTCTTTTTACACTGGAATATTTCGAGTTGTGCACACTCTGCCCGTCTCTCTTTACCTTTAAGGCTGTCTGTTTGGCTTAGTGTGAACTTAAGTGGTATAACTAGAAAAGAAATGAGCTTGCATTTCCCAGGTTCTGTGCTGCGCTCCCTCTAACATCGCCGTGGACAATCTGGTGGAGCGGCTGGCTCGGTGTAAGCAGCGGATTCTGCGCCTGGGGCACCCTGCCCGCCTCCTGGAGTCCATTCAGCAGCACTGTCTGGATGCGGTTTTATCTCGGAGTGACAGTGCCCAGATTGTTGCAGACATCAGAAAGGACATCGATCAGGTCTTCGTATGTATTACAGAGCCATTGTCCCCAAGCCTTGTATTCTCTGATCTGCAGTCTTTAATGAATGAATGGTATCTGTATTCCTCTTGCTTTTCTCTTGCTTCCATTCATTTAATTACTAAAAATAAATGAACTATCATTTGGCAAGGGACGGCTCGTTTTTGCTAGAGAATTGTATTCAACATTTAGTAGACTCAGCTGCTTGAAAGTACTTGAGATTTGGTGAGGGGAAAAGCAGCCTGGAAACAGATTCAAAACATAAGCCTCTTCCCAAATCATTTTGGTCCACTTTCTGCTCTCCTTGTGGAAGGAGATGCCAGTGGCCTGCTGAACCAGGCGTAAGCAGTTGGTTCAAGGTGAAGTGGTATCTCCTGTGTTGTCCCATCCTTGTGAGCCCTCAGGTCCTGTGGATGACACGTTTACCCTCATTTCCTTAGTTATAGCAGTCTCTTGCCTCTGTGTCCTAGCTTCAGAGTGGTGGCAGCAGGGAAGGTGCTGGGAGACCTCCCCTTCCCTTGGCCTGTAACATGAAGGCTTTGCTGGTATAGACAGACAGTTCTGGGTGCCCGGCTGTGGGTAGGAGGTGACACCAAGGATAAACAGATGCAGGAATATGCAGTGATACTATCTGCACCAACACGAGTATGGATGATTTCATTTCCTTCTTCCTGTTGAAATCAGTGCTCTTCAGGATCTTTTGTAAATTAGACAGAATAAAATACCTCCTCACTTCTGCCAAGATTCCATCCTCCAAAGCAGAAATCAAAAATAAAAGGCTACATATCTTCCTGGGGTATAAAAGTAAATTAGAGTTCAGGTAAACTTTGTATGGATTGAAACAAATTTAATTTCTAGAGATGTGTGGAGCTGAGTCTGTTCACAGCGAGTGAGCTCTCATAACCCAGATCCAGGGATGGACGGGCATCGGTCCTCCCCAGGGGTATGGGTGGCTCTTCGGGGCAGGCAGGCCCCTTCCGGCCTCATCTGGCCTCATTCAGTTCAAACACTGGCTCTGCCCAGGACCGAACATTCCCTTTCTTTTTTTTGGTACTTGGGATCGAACTCAGGACCTTGCACTTTTGAGGCAGGCGCGGCACCACTGAGCTAAATCTCCAGCCCTTGGACATTCCCTTTCTGTCTGTCCCTGTGCAGGTGACGTGACTATGAGGTGCTTAGTCACGTGCCCCTGTGGCTCCTTCAAGGAAGATTTTTAATTTTTAGTGCTTTTTCAGAAGCTTATTAAACTAGACCAACTGATATGAAGCAAAAGGACTCTATAAATGTAAAAGAATTACAAAACTGTGTCAGAATAGTTATAATTTTCTTTGTTCTCTTCATAGGTGAAAAACAAAAAGACCCAGGATAAGAAGGATAAAAGTAACTTCCGCAATGAAATTAAGCTGTTGAGAAAAGAGCTGAAGGAGAGGGAAGAAGCAGCGATGGTGGAAAGCCTCACCGAAGCCAGCGTGGTCCTCGCGACAAACACAGGTGAGAGGCGACTCCACTTGCCACTGTGGCCTTGAGCAGGGGGCATGGTGTGCGGGGTGGAGGAGGGGCTTCTTCCAGTTTCTGGCAGAGTCTGTGTGGACTTGAATTACTTCTCCTTCGATATTGGGTAGAATTACAGAGAAGCCTTCTGGGCCTGGAATTTCTTTGTAGGGAGGTTTGTAACCACAAACTGAATTTCTTTAGCAAAATATTGCTATTCAGGTCATCTCTTCTTGAGTAAACTTATATATTTAAAAAAATTTGTCCTTTTCCTCTAAATTGTTTGATTTAGAGGCATAAAGTTGTTCATGATACTCCTGTATTATTGTTTTTAGTTTCTGTGGAATCTATATGGACATACCTACCTCTTATTCCTGATATTGGTCATTTGGTTTTTTCCTCCTGATCTTCTGGCTAGGGATTTTATTGTTATCAAAGAACCTGATGATTTTTCGCTCCTGCTCTTCCGTTTTCTGTTTCGTTAATTTTGGCAGTGATCTTTATTGTTTTCTACTTTTCTGCTTATTTGGATCTGATTTTATCTTTTTTTTCTTAAGGTAGACACTGAGATCTTTGATCTGATCTCTTCTCCTTTTTCTGGTAGGGGCATGTAGCTCTGTAAATGTCCCCCTAAGTACTGCTTCTGTGACTTCCCCTAAGTTTTGATATTTGTTTTCATTTTCATTCATTTCAAAAATGTTAATTTCCTTTTAGTCTTCCTCTTCTTTTCCTTCCTGAAATCTTGGTTTCTTTTATCTTTTTAAGCCCATTGTTTGTTTTTGGGGATCTTTTGTTTGTTTGTTTGTTTGTTTTTGAGGCAGAGTCTTCCTATGGAGTTCAGGCTGGCCTTGAACTCCCTGTGTAGCCCAGGCTGGACCCAAACTTGTGGTGATGCTCCTGCCTCAGCCTCCAAAGTGTTGGAATTACAGGTGTACATCATTGAGTTTTAGAGCTGTGTTGTATAGTTTCCAAATAGTTGGGGATTTTCCAGATATCATTCTGATCTCTTTAGTTCCAAGGGGATTATAATTTCCTGTATATCCAGACTTTCTATGACTTGAATTGTTTTCTTGAGACTTATTTTGGGGTCCAGCAAATGGACACTTTTTGAGTTTTCCATTTATCCTTGCAAAGAATGTGCATTCTTTGTTTGTTTTTTGGTACTGGGGATTGAACTCAAGGCCTGGCTATGCCACTGAGCTACACCCGTGGCCCTTCAGTTATGTATTCTTACATGATTATGAGTCTCCTGCTGCTTTGTATGTCTGCTAATGCTTGTCTGGGTGCCAGACATTTTAACTTGTTGCCTGGTGGATATTTTTATATTCCTAGAAATATCCTTGAGCTTTATTTTGGGAGGCAGTAAGTTACTCGAAAGCGATATCTTTCTGGTTCTTGTTTTTAAGATTTGTTAGGATCTGGAAGAGGGTTAGTCCAGGGTTGATGTTTCCCACTACTGAAACAAGATCCGTGCTGGTTCTTTGTCCAGTATCCCTGGGTCCTAGGATTTCCACTCCGACTGCTGGGATTAGACACTATCAGCACTGGGCACTGTCTTCCCTTTGTTTTGCATGACATTTTTCCGAGGCCTTGGGTAGTTTTCTCTTAAGCACGTACTGATCGGTATTCAGCTGAATTCCCCAGGTGTCTCTGCTCAGTGATCTCTGTGCTGTTTTGTCCTGGGAACTCTGGCTGCATCGTTCTCCCTGGATTCTGCATCCCATCTCCTCAACCCAGGAAGTCCTCCTGGCTCCTCTGTGCTCTGCTGCCCTCTGGCAACTTAAGGCGCAAACTGAGGCCATCTTAGGGGGTGCCTCCTTTGTCCATTGCCTTGAAACGTAGTGTTTCACATTTTCTTCCTTTTTTTCTTTTACTTTAAAGAGTGGGTTTGCTGCTCCATGTTGGAAGAGTGCAGGACACCCACCGTCTCCCCCTGATAGCTGTTACAGTGCTGGGTGCCTCAGGATTGTTTTGAGGATGCTGTCGGCCCACGGTTCCAGGGTTCATGCGTGTTCATGGTGTTTGTGAGGCCTCTTTTGTGCTGTGTGATAGTATCACCAACACACATTTATTACCACCCGCTTCCTGTGAGTCAGATGTCCAGGAATGGCTTAGTGAGGTCCTCCACTCAGGGTCTCATAGGCCGAAGTCCAGATGTCAGCTGGGGCTGTGGTTCAGTCCAAGACTTACCTGGAAAGAATCTGCTTCCAAGCTCATGTGGCTATTGGCAGCACTCAGTTTCTTGTGGGCTGTTGGACTGAGTTTCTGATTGTTGGCTAGAGGCCACCCTTAGCTACTTGCCCTGTGGACCTTCCCAGCATGGCCACTTCATCGGAGCCGGCAAGGGACTGAGTCTTGTGAGCGGATTCTAATCTTGTGTAATGTTATTGAGGATGTGATATTCTATCACATTTGCTCTATTATTGTTACCATCATCACTATTATTACTATTATTGTTATTTGGTGCATCCCAAACAAATGCTTTCCACTGAGCTACACCACATCTTTGTGTTATTCTGTTGGTTAGAAGCAAGTTTCAGCCCACCTGCACTCAACAGGAGAGGATTATGCAAAGTGTGAATGTAAGGAGGCCAGGGCTCCAGGGCCCACCTCAGAGTCTCTGCTACAACTTCTCACTTGGTGGGCTGCTCCAAGGACCACAGTCTGGGCTCTGATAGGCTTTATAATTATAGCTTTATCCAGTTGTGTTTTGTTTTTGTTTTTGTTTTGTTTTTTTGAGACAGAGTCTTGTTTTGTAGCCCAGGCTGGCCTTGAACTCGTGGTGATCTGCCTCAGCCTTCTCAGTGCTGAGATTAGAAGCATGTACCACCATGCCCTGCTATCCAGTTGTCTTTAAAATCAAGTGGGAGAAAACAGACATGAACACAAAATACATTCAACACTGCCTCCTAATTACCTATGTAGTTACCTTTATTGGCGTTCTTTGTTTCTTCCACGAGGATCTGAGTTACTGTCTAGTATCCTTTCATTTCAACCTGCAGGACTCTAGTATTTCTTGAAGGGCAAGTCTGCCATAAGTGAATTTTCTCTTTTTGTAGCTGGAGATATCTTAATTTCTCCTTCCTTTTTGAAGGACAGTTTTGCTAGCTCTAGAAATCTTGGTTGTTAGTCATCTTTCAGCACTTAGGCTGCTGTTTCTGCCTGCTGACCTCCATGGTTTATTTCTTTTTGTGCCTGTGTGGTATTGAGGGTTGAATCTAGGGCTTCACCCATGCCTGACAAGTGCTCTACTGTTGAGCTATTTCCCCAGCTCTTTATGTTTTTTAGTTTGAGACAGGGTCATGCTAAGTGGTCTATGCTGGCCTCAAACTTGAGACCTCTTGCCTCAGCTTCCCTTTAGCTGAGATTACAGGTGTGTACTAACATGCCCAGATAATGTCTTTTGTTCTCTGGCCATCACTAAAGTCTCTCCTCAGCTTCGTGCCCTTTAGAGATCAGAGATTCTCTTGAAGCCTTGGAACTAGTCAGTCTCCATTTGCTGAGCTGCTGAGCTGCATGCTGGACGTGCTTTTAGCCCATAGCCAGGCCATCTATAGCTCTTGGCCTCTGCTTCCCATTGCACAGAACCTCAAAGTGGGCCTGTGGTGAGAGCTGAGGTCCTCTCAGGTCCTGCTCAGGCCTGTGCACAGCCCTGCACGTGTGGGATCTTCCAGGTCTCCTGGGAGATGGCAGAGCTTCTCAGAGCCCCAAGGACATCTCATTCTCCAGCTTCCTTTAGCTTTTTGGTTATCCTGCCATTTGCTCCAGCTGTTGTCCACTGCCCCAGAGAGCCACGATGTTGCCTCTGCTTGTTTTAAACAAATACCCCGGAGAGAAGGTTGGGTGAGCTCGAGTAGTCAGGTCAGGTGTTCCTGTGAGCAGGGTCTACCAGGGAAGTGTGGCACTGGTGAGAGGATCTGTCCTGGGGAATGGATTGCAGGAGCCCCTCGCTGGCTGCCAGGCTGCTAGCTTCAGATGACTACATGGTGTGTGGGGTGGTGGCAGGGAGTGACAAGGTGAGTTAAGTGCAGTGCTCACCTGGGATTCAGCCTTTTTTCTTGAACAACTGTAATTTTTTTTTTTTTTTTGGTACCGGGGATCAAACTCGGGTCCTTGCGCTTGTGCTTTTTTTCTTGAATAAATTCTCCTCAAAGTGCTGTGAGGATTGGTGAGCATCCAGAGTTGTAAAGAAGTCGGTTCTGACTGGTCTGTTGTGCGAGTGGAGGAGAGTTTCCTGAGATGTCTCTCTGCCATTTCCACTGTCTGTCTGTCTGTCTGTCTCTCGCTTTCTCTTTTTCTTTCTGGGATTGAGCCCTTGAACCCGGTGTCCTTGGACTGAGTTACATCACTATCCTTTTCTTTTTGAGACAGGGTCTCATTAAGTTGCTAAGTGATTCCTAAGTTGCTAATGATCCTTGGACTTGAAATCTTCCTGCCTCAGCCTCCCAGAGTGCTAGGATCACAGGTGTGCATCACTACACCTGGCCCTTAACTCCCTTTAAGTGCAGCACTTGCTGGTAGTCAGGAGGGGACCCTTCCCCTCTGCACCCAGAGGGCTACTGTGGCCCTTCCTGCTTGGTTGGGGAGCTAGGATGATTTCTTGGAAGTGTTTCTGGCAGGAAGTCTGATTTTGGATTGGGGTGTAACTCGGTGGTAGAGCACTGGCCTAGCATGTCAGGTACTGAGTTTCACCCCCAGGCGTGTTAACAAAACAAGACAAAACAGAAACAAAAGAAGTCTGTTTATACTGTGAAGTCCCATCTCTAATCGAAACACTTCTTTCAATTATCTGGAGCCTGGTGTTATTGTTTGGGTCTGGATGTTCCCCCAAAGCCACATTCGGTCAGGGGAGGCTGAATCTGGAAGTGTGATGCTGGGATTAAGGGTGTGTGATTACTAAACACTACATGTGAGTGATTGGTTTGGCACTGCCCTAATCCCAGTAGTCTGGATGGGATAAAGGGGCAGGCAGATGCTGTTAGGGTCTTTTGTGGCTTTTGCCTTGTTCTGTCACCATGAAGTGTTGCCTCCCTGCCACCCTGCCTTGGAGCCAGCTGATTATGGACTGAAACCTCCACGAGCTAGAAACCAAATAAACCTTCCCCCCTTTCACTTTGGGTGTCGGGTTTTGGTCTCAGCAAGGAGAGAAAAGTAGCTAAGACACCTGGTCACAGTTCTGGGTCCTCTGTGGCACTTTCCCTAGAAAAGTCTGTCTTGGGAAATTCCTCAAGATACATGTCTTCATCATGAAACATAACATGCATTGTAGTATAATTCACTCAGACGGGGGTGAAAGGGGCAGGATTTCTTTTTCTTTTTTTACCATGCTTGGGATGAGGCCCAGGGCCCTGCACAAGCCAGACAAGTGCTCTACCAACGAACCGCATCCCCAGCCCTCGTCTGCGCTCTGGAGCCAGGCACTTCGCATAGGTGCTCATTCTCAGTTCCCATGACAGCTGCCTGCAGTACGGGTGTGGTCCCCAGGAGTCCACAGTGAGAGAGGTGTAGGGACGTGGTTGCCTCAGGCGCACTGTAGTTTGCCGGGCCAGGCCGGGGCCCTGGCTCTCTCGCAGCTGGCTTCATGTTTCAGGGAGGAACACCTGGTGCAGTGGTTTCACGTCGTCAGATATGTGGAGGTTTTTCTCTGTGTGAACACTCATCAATTAATTGTTGTCTATGTCCGAGAAATGAAACCTTACAGGAGAAGTAAATTTTAAATCCAAAAATAACACAGATATGATATCTAGAAACAGGAAGGCTTGGGACGGCTCCAAAGGGGCGGTTCACTCTGGTGACGGAAGGGTGAATGGCCAGTGCTCAGGGACACAGGTGAGCTGGGATCATGATCTCGTGAAGTCCTTTCTAGGTCTTTATTCCGGGTGCAGATCTGTTCCATAGTGGTCATGCAAGACTAGCTGTGGCAGCTGGCTTGGCTCACTCTCTCAGTGTGACTGTAAATGCAGCCAAAATGGATCAGCCAGTGCCCCTGTAGACTGAGGGTTCCCTGTCTCCCAGGTGCTTCTGCTGACGGCCCTCTAAAGTTGCTGCCCGAGAGCTACTTTGACGTGGTGGTCATTGATGAGTGCGGCCAGGCCCTGGAAGCCAGCTGCTGGATCCCTCTGCTGAAGGCCAGGAAGTGCATCCTGGCTGGAGACCACAAGCAGCTGCCACCCACCACAGTCTCACACAAGTAAGACTTGAGCCCTCCCTCAGCCTTTCCTTGCCCCTTGCCCATCGGCCCTGCTCACTGTCCCTCAGGTCCAGCCATGGATGTCCCCATTAGGTGTCCTGTGTACCTTTCCCAGTGACAGCTCCCACCGAGTGCCATTGCACCTGCGTGTTTAAGTGGCTGACTTGAGAGATCGTGTGCTCTCTGTAGATGGGGTCTCCTCAGCCTCATCTTAGTGCCTGGCATGTCCCCTGGTGAGGCAGGCAGGCAGGCAGGCAGGATTGGTGGTTTAGGCAGGAGAGCTGCTCTGTGGCTGGACTCACTCCATTTGGCTCAGTTCCAATCACCTCAGCCTCGGATGGGCCCTGCAGTCCCCGTTTGATAGGTAACCCTTGCCGGAGGACATGGGGAGACTCAGGAGAGCCCATGGGTGTGCTGTGGTGTCCTGTGGTTTTGGGTGGTGACCCAGCACAGCCTTTGTGGCGTGGAGGAAGCATGGTTGCCGGCGGCCCCTCTCGTCAGCTCATTTCCCATTCCATCCTTCACTGCCCGACCACGTTGGCCTCCTTGAACCTTGAGGTCCCCCCTGCCTGGGCTGCTGCCTCCAACCCCTCATTGGGCAGCCCCACCTTCCCTGTCTTGGTCACTTTCCTCATTGCTGAGATAATACCCATCACCCATAGCTTTATTTTGCCTCATGTTTTTAGTCCATAGTTGGCTGGCCCCAAGGCAGGATGGCATGGCACAGGGGCATGGTGGACAAATAGCTGCTCACCTTATGGCAGACAGGGAGCAGAGCAAGGAAGGGAGGTAGAACCTTCTAGGTGATGGCCACAGTGACCCACCTCTTCCAGCCAGACCCCACCTTCTAACAACCACCAGCTGTAACGCCCCTGTGATCCAGGCACCTTCCAGAGGTCCTGCCTACAACCGTCAGAGGCTTTCAGGGGACATCTAGATGTAAACCCTAACATTCCCTTTGGGTGAAAGCTTTTTGTAGCCCCAGCCTGGCTGTCTAAACAAAACCCTCCAGTCCCTCATGTGGCTCACTTAGTTCTGTCAGCAGAACCTCTTGCCTCAGTCCTGTGTTCGTCTGCTCGCCTGCTTATCTTCTATCCACAGTAAGCTACAGGAGCCTGTGGGCAGGCCTGGCATGGGGGGCGATCTTTGAACACACAGCTTCAGGTCCAGAAAGGCAGCCTCGAGGAACAAGGCTCCCCTGGGCCCTGTGCCACGGCCTTCCCTTCCCTCTGAGGACAGTGGCTTCTTCCTGGATTCTGCTGGCTCTCTGACAGCACCAGTAGTCAGTGTCTGGGCAGGAGTCAGCATCAAACCTGGAACTCTGGTTGTTTTCTCAGGACCAGAAAGAGCTGAGTGGAATCTTCTGAGGGGAGCAGGCGGCCCAGGTGCCCAGAGAAAGAGGAGTCAGTAGTCCCTCAAGTGAGGATTTGGGAGGAAATGTCTGGCATGGGGCGGAGGGGAGAGCTGGGGAGGTTGTCCTGTAGGATCGGAGAGAAGCCACGCGTGTCTCTTTCCTTGGTTCTCCCGGGAGATTTCTCAAGGGATCCCTGGAAAGGCTCTGCCCTCCAGGGAGCCTTGGGGAGGAGGGAATCTGGAGCTGTGCCCTTGGGGAACAGGACCCTGTGTGGGCCTGGAGAGAGGGGGAGCTTGGGGATGGTGTTTGTAGGTGGGGCTGATAATTACTTCATGTCTTCATTTGGCATTGATTGTTTCTGGTAGCGATGGTTATTAGGAATCAATCACAGAGTCCTTTGAGTTTCTAGAGGGTGGGGGGCTGGAGTCCCTTTCACAGATTGGGCTCTTTCCCATGGTTCTGGTCACTGCTTGGAGTGGGATGCTGTGCCATGTGTCCCTGAGCCAGGTGACCCGGATGGATCCTAGCTGGACAGCCTTGGGCTGCTGTCTTAACCCTTCTGGGTCTTCTTGTGCATAACATGGGAGTCATTTCAGCTGCTGCCTCCTGCGGTGGTGAGGATGTGGTGCTAAGAGTGGTGCGGGGACCCGGGGAGTGCCCACTTCTTGTGACACTGGGGGACTAGGACCCCTAGAGTAGTACGAGTTCTAGAAACTTACCTGTAGTAGTTTCCTGTCACCACTGTGACAAATTAGCACAGATGGAACTAAACGGTTTTAGGATCTCATAGTTCTGGAGGTCAGGTGTCAAAATCAGTCTCTCTGGCTTAGAATGAAGGTGTTGGCAGGGCTGGGTGGTCTGGAGGCCCCAGGCAGGGCTATTTCCAGCTGCTAGAGGCCACTGCCTTTGTTGGCTCAGGGCCCTTCCTCGTCTTCCAAGCCGGTGTGTGGCATCTTCAACTCTGTCGTGTCACACAGCCTTCTCCGTCTCTGGCCCTTCTGCTTGCCTCTTAACAAGGCCCTTGTGATTATCTCCCAGATCGAACAGGATCCTCTCCCCACCTGCAGAGTCCCTGTTTTCACATAAGGGAACATCGTCTCAGGTCCTGGAGATCAGGACACCTTGGGGAGCATGACTCACTGGCCCCACCTTCCTTTTAGACAGGATGCGTCAGGTCTGGGTTTGAGGCAGCCTTCTCCGCTCACCCTGCTTTCACATCTGGGCCCTGGGACTCAGGCCGTTCCTCCCACTCCTCCCTCATTGCAGGGCAGCACAGGAGGGGCTGTCGCTCAGCCTGATGGAGCGCCTGGCTGAGGAGCATGGTGACAGGGTGGTGCGAACACTGACCGTGCAGTACCGCATGCACCAGGCCATCATGCGCTGGGCCTCGGAGGCCATGTACCGCGGTCAGCTCACGGCCCACCCATCGGTGGTGGGGCACCTCCTGAGGTGAGTGGCCTACCCTGCCCCTGATCGTGCCCCAGCCTCCCTTCTCATCCCAAGTGAAATGTATCCCGTCAAGATTTTAGAGTGCAAGTCCACTCAGGCTATTTTCTGGAAGGGAGTGCAGCCTTGCCCAGTCTGATGCTCTCAGTGCCTGCCATAGGCCTGGTGGGAACGGCCTGTGCTGTTGTGTGGTTCAGCTCTGGTCTTTGCCCGTGTGCCAGGGACCTGCCAGGCGTGGCTGCTACGGAGGAGACTGGCATCCCCCTGCTGCTCGTGGACACTGCCAGCTGTGGGCTGTTCGAGCTGGAGGAGGAGGATGAGCAGTCGAGGGGAAACCCAGGTGAGCCGGCTGGCTAGGGCTGGCTTGTCCCTCACACAGACTTGGGTTCTTCTTCAGACCTGGTTGGTTCAGGTTGCCCCACTCAGGGTGGCGCTGAGAGCTTGTTCGGGAGGTCAGGAGCTGGGCTCCACGCTCCTCCTGGGTTGGTGGGATGTCAGGGCAGCGGTTCCTGGCCATCCCCCAGGTGCATGGCTCATGGCCTGATCTGTCTTGAGCAGAGCTTCTTAGCCCCCAGCGCATCTCAGGGCAGCCAGGTCATCCCTGTCCCTGTGGACCCTGTTTGCTGGCTCCTGTGTGCAAGGCCTGGCAATCTGACTCTGGTGACACAGGCTCAGTGACGGGAGGTCAGCACAGCCTGTCCCCGTGCTGACAACCTGCCCTCTCTCCCCTCCAGGAGAAGTCCGCCTTGTCAGTATGCACATCCAGGCTCTGGTGGATGCTGGTGTCCAAGCAGGTGACATTGCTGTCATCACACCCTACAACCTCCAGGTATGAGGGACCTCCTTTTGACCCCCTTTTGTCCTCCTCTGTACCAGTGAGACTCAGTCAACCCAAGTTGTTTAAAGAAGATGAGTGTGGTTGTGCATGCCTGTAATTCCAGCACTTGGGAGGCTGAGGCAGGAAGATCACCCTGAGTTCAAGGCCAGCCTGGGCCACATAGTAAGTAGTGAGTTCAAGGCCAGCCTGAATTACATAGTGAGATGCTATCACAAACAAAACAAACAAGAACAATAAAGAACGTAAAGAAAATTATAATTTATTGGCTATGGTGACCAAAAAGCCCAGGGTTAGAGTTGACCTCATCATGGCTAGATTCATTGCCCAAGTGACATCAGGTACAGCTGTCTATGTGTCCCTCTCACTCTGCCGTGCCCTGCCCTGTCCTGATCTATAGCCTGATTCCCTGAGTGCCAGCCTTGTTTTCAGGCCAGTGTCCCCAGGTGGCCTGGCAACCTCAGGGTGGACTTGTCCTCTCACAGCTGTCTTGGCGGAATAGCCTTGGCTGTGGCTCTCACTGTCCTGGCCCAGGTTGCCTCTCTATCCCTGCTTTGCTTGGTAGGAATACACCTGCCTGGGCGCTGTGTCCTCTGGTGTCACCCATCTTGGCTCACAGTGCCACACATGGGAGTCTGAGGCCGGTGGCTGTCAGGAGCCAAAAGCAATGATGAGCCCCAGTGACCGGCTCATATATGATAGCTTCATGTTCTCTGCCTGTCCCCGTGTCCCTGGGAGAAGGGCAGTCACAGGGACTGTGACTGTGGGCTCCTTCCAGGCTCGAGGCCCTTGTTGATGGAGGGATGGGGTCTCAAAGCCATCCTGGCCTGTGGAGGTGACCAGGCTGTGGCCATGCTTGGGTTTCAGGTGGACCTGCTTAGACAGAGCCTCGGGCACAAGCACCCTGAGCTGGAGATTAAGTCTGTCGATGGCTTCCAGGGCCGGGAGAAGGAGGCTGTGGTGTTGTCCTTCGTCAGGTCTAACAGGAAAGGTAGGAGGCCTGTGCATAGCTCTCTGGGACCGTACAGAAGTGAGTGCGCTGGTTCCGAGGGCGTCGGGGGTTCTGCCTGTTCCTGCCAGAGTGGTGTGGAGTGCAGCCTCTGTCCTCTGTAAGTCACATGTAGCACATGACCAAGGGCGAGGTGTGGTGAGGACTCTGATAGGAGACATCCCAGCAGCTCCACTCAGGCTGAGCCCTCATTGGGCTGGTGAGGTGGGAGGGGAGGGCATGCATTTCAGGCAGAGGAAATAGCATCAGGAGGCTCAGTGGCACAGGTGTGCACTCAAGGAGTGCATTCAGGGCTGGAAATGGCTGGGACACCCTGTCGAGGAGGTGGAGCCCCGCCTTGAAGCCTAGAGCTTGCCATTTAGCTGCAAAGCCCAGCTGTGGCAATAAGAAAATGATACCCAGAGATCAGCTTTAGCCAGGGACTTAGGAAGCATCGTCAGGAGAAGTTGAGCCCTTTACCTCGCCCCTGGAGTGCCAGCTGCTGCCCCTCCCTGGCTGTCTCACACATCTAGGCTCAGGCAGGAGGAATCCGTCTGGACCTGGATCCAGCAGCAGCCCACAGCTCATTTCAATGCCACACAGCCACATTCAATAGCAGCAGTGGCAGAGTGCTAAGCAAATGTGGCATCACAGCCGGGCCCTGTGGGCACCCAGGTGGCCATGTGGAGGGCAAGCACAGATGTGGGGTGCAGGCTGGGGGGGTCACAGAGGCTGCAAGGGTGCTGAGAAGACTGTTTCCTGTTTCTTACTCTCCTCTGGCCCTTCAGGTGAGGTTGGCTTTCTGGCCGAGGAGCGGCGGATCAATGTTGCTGTCACCCGTGCACGGCGCCACGTGGCAGTCATCTGTGATTCCCGCACTGTCAACACCCACCCCTTTTTGAAGACCCTGGTGGATTATTTCACCAAGCATGGGGAAGTGCGCACAGCCTTTGAGTATCTTGACGATATCGTCCCTGCAAACTATGCCCATGAGGGCTCCCAGGGCCACAGCCAGGCTGCTGTGAAGCCTCAAGGGCCCACTTCCTCGGCCAGGAAGCCACCTGGAAGTGGGCGGCAGAAGGGTGGCCAGGAGCAGCGGAAGAAGCCAGGCACAAAGCCTTCGGGCTCTGAAGCCCCTTCTCAACCCAGCCTCAATAGGGACAGCCCAGGGGGCCTGAGAGGTGAAGATGGCACCGAGCACTTCAGGGCCATGATCAAGGAGTTTGTGGCCAGTGAGGAGATGCAATTGGAGTTTCCTGTGTCCCTGAATTCTCATGACAGGCTGCGGGTCCACCAGATAGCCGAGGAGTATGGGCTGCGGCATGACAGTGCCGGGGAGGGGAAGGCGAGGTACATCACTGTGAGCAAGAGGGGCCCTGTGGGGGTCGGCAGCAGAGCTCCCCTCTCTCCTGAGCCTTCCGGCCCTGGGCAGCCAGAGCAGACCCCCGGTGAGCAGTGCAGCCAGGCCCCACTGGACCTGAAGGCGCTGTACCTGGAGAGGCTGCAGAGGGAGCAGGGTACCCGGGAGCAGCCAGCCAAGAAGGGGCAGCCAGTCATGGGCTCTGGGCTGCAGAAGTTTCCAGAAAAGAAAAAGAAAAAAGAAGCCAAGGGTAAGTTTATCAACTGTGGGAGCACAGGTGTAGTGTCCCCTTTACCTGAAACCTGCCACCCTCAGAACGAGTTACAGATTTCTGCGGGTGGCACTGGTGCCCATCATGTTGCACTGCATTTTTAATCATGTCACTTGCTCCTGGCTCTGTGTGGGCTCCCCTGGGCCTGAGTGACAGGCTCCTTCCTGGGCCCAGAGCCTTGGGCAGGACATGGCAGGTGGGAAGCACTCGAAAAGGGGTGGTGGCTGCGGTCCCTCTGGGGTCGGGCAGTGCTTGCAGGCTCCCACTGCAAGGTCCTGGCCAGCCTGCAGCATGGCTTGGAAGCTGCCTTGCCCACAGTACTCAGAAACCTGCGGCTCCCCGAGCTTACTGTTGTGCAAGGCCTTGTTGGGCCCCAGGATGGGCTGTGTGTTTCTCGCATTCATCTGCGCTGTGCCTGGGGCAACCTGGGTATTTGGTGTGTGTGCACTGGTACAGAGTGTACCCTGGTTGGCCACAGCCTGGATTTTTGGGACACTTCTGGAGGCTCCTGTTAGAGCCCCGTCCCTATGCACAAGGTCACAAGGGAGGTTGGCTCTCTTTCATTTGTTAGCTCCCAAAAGCAGAGTAGTACAAGCCTCCAGCCTTGCCCTCTGGACATGGCATTCTAGCAGAGGAAAGAGACCTGCTCTGTTTTTAAGCTGAGAACTGGGATATGATTCCTGCCCCCGAGGGGAAGGTGCCAAGCCCCTGTGACAGTGGGATGGGACCTCCTCCTAGCAGGGGCAGTGGGTGCTCACCTGTGCACATCCTGGGGAACCTTGGCCCACTCAGGGAAGCTGGCACCATTCACCTGTGGAAGTGCTCCTCTGGCAGCCCCTTTCTGGGTGCCTTTTGGTCTTCCAACTTCAGACATGGGCTGTCTTCAGGGCATCAGGCTCTGTGCCGGTATCCTGGGGAGTAGCTGAGAGTAGCCCTAACAGAGGTTGCCCAACGAGCTCTGCCGTGGCCCTTCCCTTGGGGTCGGAGTGGCCCTGCTCTCCCACAGCAACACAGCTGGGTCATGTTACCTCCCAGCACAGGTTTGGGTCAGGTGATGAGTGACAGAGGCCATCCTTGTGTCTGCCAGATTTCCCAGTGTGCTCTGCCCCCTCGTTCCTTGCTGGGTTGTGAGCATGCCCTGCCTGGTCCCTGGGTCTCCTTCATCTCCTGAGGAGGGTTGCTGCCATGGTTGCTGTGGCACCTTCCCCAGGCCTTCTCCGGGGTACTTGCTTCTGTCCTGGGGGCATGATTAGCGCATTTCCTTCCTTCCTGTCAGGTGAAAGTGGCTGCTTAGGTTTGAAACGGCCACCATGGACCAGGGCCCTTGGGGGTGTGCTGGGCCTCCGGGAGCCCCTGTTGGAGTCTTCCCTGTGTCCACATCTCTGAGGCCTCCTGTTCTGGTCTGTGTGGCTGGTTACCATGCACACCCCTGGACGTAGGAACAGCACAGGGAGCAATGGAACAGAAGCCAGTGCTGCCTGAGTGTGTCCTGGAGCTCAGCTGCATCACCGCTTGGGGATCTCCACCCATCTGTTTCCTTTGTGTGCAGATGCGTGTTCATGGTACACGTGCATCCTACAGCATTACACTGTTCGGAGCCTCGCAGCTCTTTCCACTTGTGAGCATTTCCTATACTTTAAAAACATTTGCTTATATCTGTTGAAAAGGTTGAGGTCCCAGTGGGACTGGTGAGTGCTGTGGGTCCTGGAATTGGGCTTCTGTGTTGGTTTGGGGTTTTGGTGTTTTTTGCACTTGGTCTCATGGCACACCCGCATGTTTCTGGGTGAGAGAGGGCACCTTCAGAGGTGCTGTGTGCTGCCAGCCCTATTCTGAAGGGTCTGCCATCCTCCCAGTGTGCGGGGCCACATTGGCTTTAGCAGGGCGTTGGGGGTCAGTGGCCCAGTGACGATGAGGGTGAATTGGAGGGCGATGCAGCCTGGATGTTTTCCTGAGTGTCACTTTGCGTGCTCTGGTGGGCCCAGAGGCAAGAACTGGGATGGACACGTAGGGGATGTGGCCCAGCTGCAGCTTTGCTGTGGGCCAGGTGGGAGAATCTGGTCTCCATGTTCCTCCCTTGTCTGAATGAACGGCACTTTCTCCCCAGGGCGCCTCACCAAGGATCTGCCCACCGAGGAGGACTTTGATGTGTTGGTGTCAGCTGCTGTTAAGGCCAACAACACCTGCGGCTTTGTCAAGTGTTCAGCCAGTGTCATGACTTTGGGACAGCTCTGCCAGTTCTGTGGCCACTGTTACTGCGTCAGCCACCACCTCCCTGAGGTACATGGGCCCCTCCCTGGCTGGATAGCGGGAAAGCACATGCTGGGCAGACTTGCCCAATCAGTAGATGCTCTGACGTCCTAAGGGGTGTTTTCTTTAAAGACAGAAGCAGGCATTGACTCAGGGTTTATTGTGAACACGTGGAACACAGGAAGTAAGATTCTGTCTTTGCTGAGTTCGAGCCATGTTGGTGGGAATCTGGTTGGAGAGGATGTGTCCCCGTGTACCCAGGCTCTGTCGGTGGGTTGATCTGGCCCAGTGCAGAGCCATGGGAGGTAGGACTTGTGGCCCATGGGTCAAGATGGCAGCAGCCTGATGGCCTTTTCATTCACTCCTTGAATATGTGTCAGTGAGACCTCTCGGAGCCAGGCATGGGAACCTGTGGGGAGCTGGGCTGGAGCAGACCCTATCTTTGCCGAGGGACCACCGGGCCTGGTGGAGTCTGGAAAGGAGACAGTGTAGGGTACGGTCTGTGTACTGAGTGCCCTGAGGAGGAAACCCAGGAGCCAGGGCAGCAGCAGGAGACCTCCCCACACAGGGTGGGCTGAGACCAAGGGGTGAGAGGTGGGGATTCACAGGGAGGTGGGCTGAGGGCAGGAAAGCAACCCCTCCAGCCTGCGGAAGCCATGGATGTATTCAGGGGGCTGGAGCAGAAGGAAGTAGAGCCTAGGTAGGGCCTGGGTGCATCAGGCTTGGTTCTGAAGTGGGGGCAGCACTGAGGTGTCAGGAGGGCCATGATGTCACCATACTGGCTGCAGCATGGAGGAACTTGAGCCTGGGGTGCAGTGGGAGGTGGCCACAAGGTCTGTGTGGTCAGCTGGGGTGCTGCTTCCTGTCCACACTCTCCGGTGGATGTGGGGTGGAGGAGGAGCCTCTGCAGGGTCTCACACTGGGACTCACCAGGCCCCCAAGCTCTTTGATGGCGAATGTGCAGGGTCCTGTGTGTGTCCCCACTTCACCCCATGTAGCCCACCCGACTCTTATGTCCTTCCCAGATCCACGGCTGCGGTGAGAAGGCTCGTGCCCATGCCCGACAGAGAATCAGCCGGGAAGGGGTCCTCTATGCGGGCAGCGGGACCAAGGACAGGTCCCTGGACCCTGCCAAGAGGGCCCAGCTCCAGAGGAGGCTGGATAAGAAGCTGGGGGAGCTCAGCAGCCAGAGGGCAAGCAAGAGGAAGGAGAAAGGGACGTGATGGTGGCTGCCTGGAGGGAGAGCCTGCAGCTGGTGCCAAGCTCAGGACACAGCCAAGCCCACTCTGTCCCCCGGGCCAGGGCACCAGGTCCTCGGGGTCAGGCTGTCCCAGCCTGGGGACCTTTCCCCAGCCTCTTCTCCCACTCCCAGTGAGACCGGAATCCCGCCTGCGGGTCTCAGGGAAGGTCCTGTTTCCTTGGAGATGTGCCTGGTGTCGGGCTTTGTCACAGTGGCCCCCCCGTGCGGCTGGTAGGCTTCACTGCATTAGGACGAGGGGTCTGAGAGGAAACAAGAGGCCCAGGTGCCCTGAATGGCCCTGGGACGCAGGTTTGGAGGAGGGGCTTTCTGCCCACATGCCCCTCTGGCCAGCTGTGGCCACCTTCCTCTGTCCCTGGTGCCTGTGCTACACTTTCCCTGCAGGCCATGGTTAGGGAGGCTTCTGGTGTGTGCTCGCCCTCCTCTGTCGTGGGCTTGGGGACTGGGAGAAGTGGCCATTCCCTGGGGGCCCTTGTGGAGAGCACTGTCCCAGAGCATCCATGTCCCTGATGCCTATGGATCCGAACCTCGCTAAGCACTCTTTGCCAAATATTTATAAGAACCGTAACAGGTATTTCAATCAAAAGGTCTTATTTCAAAAGGACATAAATTATTTTTAAATGAAATAAAAAATCCATGCCTACAATCCATAGTATGTTTGCTGTGTCTCAGGTGAACCTTCTTTTCCTTTCTTGCTCCCATGTCCCTTTCCTGGAGTGGGCACCAGACACAGGATGAGCTGGCACTTGCTGTCAAGCTTGGGGACATGTAAGAGCACTGTGGTGGCATGCAGGTGGGTGGAGGTGTATGTGTGCAGGGCTACTGCTGGGAACATCCCTGTCCTGTCAGCAGATGATAGGGGAAGGGAAGGATAACTCTTGCCTGACTTTTTTTTTTGAGACAGGGTTGTGCTATGCAGTTCAGGCTGGCCTTGAACTCCCTGTGTGGCCCAGGCTGGCTTCGACCTTGCGGTACCCCTCTTGCCTCAGCCTCCTGAGTGCTGGGATGACAGGTGTGCGCCACAACACCCGGTTTTACTTAACTTTTCTGCCCAGGAGAAGGGGGTTTGTAATTGGAAAGTTTAGTGCTGTAAAACTGTTGAGGAAATCAGGCCCAGCCAGGGTGGAAAGGGGGAGAGGCTGCCTTGTGGAGGTGGAGACCTCCTTCCCGTTCCCCACCATGGGTTTCCACTAAGGAGAAGGAGGAACCTGTCCGAAGCCTCCCTGTGCTCTGTCTGGTTTGTCCTCTCAGCTGTGGGGCCCCAGGCTGACCCCGCCCTCCTCCCTGCTGCACTCGCCTGACTCGGGCCTTCGCCCACTGTCCTACATGTCCTTTGTGCCATTTGCATTCCCTGTAGCCTTCAGAGTGCTGCTTAGCCTCCCTGACCCATGTCTGAGGTGTCCCCGACTTTGCCCTCAGGCTCCTCTGCAGCATGCTTGCTCTGTGGTCACACCACTGTCCTCCAGGTGCCTTTTCTCCAGGACTCATGGAATGTGTCCTCTGCCAGGCCACACACATTGGTTACTCTGCTTTTTCCAGGGCAGGGCCACTCTCTCCCTCTCCATGTCTTGCTTGCTCCTGTAAGTGGCTTTATTTGTGGTACTTGGAATTGAACTCAGGCCCTCATACATGCTAGGCAAGCTCTCTACCCCTGAATTATACCCTAGCCCTTTTATTTTTTGAGACAATCTTGCTAAGTTGCCCAGGCTGGGCTTGAACTTGGGATCCTCCTGCCTTGAGCTCCCAAGCAGCTGGGATTATAGGCATGTGCCACCACACCCAGCCCGTGAGTGGCTTGAATGAATTATTGGGAAAGGGAAGAGGACAGGGTCTCTATTGCATTTTGTACCTAAGTGCCTTGTAGAGCTCATTTAGACATTAAAAGCCAGTGAGTGCCAGCAGGAGCAAAGTGGTGCTTAGCAGCACAAGCACACAGGTGGTGGCTGTGCTCCTGGTGTCCCCGAGACACAGCACAAACTGCAAGAAATGGATGCTTTGGAGGGAATGTGGCCCATCACTGGGGGGTAGTGGCAGCTGCTTTGCCTGCCAAGGATGCATGCTTTACCTCCCTGCCCTTTGGTCCTCAGCCTGACCCCCTGGATCAAGCACAGAGAGGTGTTTATCTCCAGGGAGATCCTAGGTCCTCACCCTTCTGAGCAAGGCCAGGCTCAGGGATGGGCCAGAATACAAACGGCCAACCAGTATTCTGTCTTGGGATCAACACACGGATGCTGAAAGAAAGATGTTCGCCCTTCTTCACTGGAGGTGGCCGGCAGGCAGCCACCCTCCCAGCCTTCTGAGGAAGCTGTCTCCAGGACAGGAGGAGGTCGAAGAGAAACAGACCAATATGATAGCGTTGGGGACCTGGATCCAGCTGCACTTGACCTCCACTCCATCCTTTCCAGTGTCCTGAACTAATAAATCGTTCTTAGCTGAAGAAAGTCTGTTTTTGTTACTTGCTCCAAAGGATCCTTGCTGGTCCAGCCATGCCCACATCTGTATACTTTGTTGGTATCTGCACTCTGGGCACGGAGACAGTGTAGAATCTGTGGCTCCATCCCCTAGAAAAGGTGTAGGAGTAGAGTCTAAGCCCTGTACCTCCATCCAGGTGCCCCTGCCGTGGGCCATCCCACCAGGAACGGCTCGGGTGCAGGAAGGCAGCCAGCGTGAGCTGGCTGCAAGAGGTCTCTACCATTGGCAGGGTACGCGAGAATGCCAGCACCACCACCCCTCGAGTCACGTCCCCTCTCAACCTGTGTGTGCATCTTTGAAGTAGATGGAAACAGTCATTGCCTTGCTGTCTATGTAGATCAGTCAGGGTGCTGAGCAGTAGGCACCATCATCCCCTGGCGCGTGGTCTGGGTCCCGGGGGTAGTTTCTGTGGCACTGTCCCACACCGTGTCTAGCTGTGGCCACTGTACCCCAGGTCCCCATGCACAGAGCATTCTCCCCTTCCCCTTTGACCACCGCTCACCTGTCAGTGATGTTCCACTAAAATGTCAGAGTTGACAGTTGCAAAATCCAGTGTTTCCATTCCTCATCCTAGGAGACTTCATTAGGAAAATGTGACTGGCTGCTTGAAAAACGTCCCCCAGTCTAACTGGACAGGTTTGCCTGAAGAAAGGAAAGTAGCACCCCAGAGCCAGATGTCTCCCTGCCCAGCCGGTGTGAGCTTTTGGGCAGTGTCCCACAGGCCACAGCCCTTCCAGGAGGGGAGCGGCTCAGCGCGGCCTCAGTAGAGGTGAGGAATCCTTCTGGTGTGGGGGACCAGCCTCAGAGGAGGTGGGGATCAGCCTCGTCCCTCTGGAGGCTGCATGGAGGAGGCCCTACCCTTTGCTCCCCAGGTGATGAGGGCCCATGTGGTCAGCTGCAGCGCCTGGCTTTGGAGATGAGCCCTGATGTGCATCCCCGGGTCAACCCTCCATGCTTGTTTCCTCGTCTGTAAGATGGGGTCACAGAGTTGTGGAGATTAAACAAGTTACATGCACAAGGCCCTTGGACCCCGCCTGGCTTGCTGTCCTCATCCTCATCTTATGGAGCTACAGTGACAAGGACCAAGGCAGCCACAGTGAATGGCCACACCTGCTCAGACAGCAGGGCCAGCAAATGGTCCTTGGGCTCTAGGCAGAGACGAGTCAACAGCCCTGCTCAGCACAGGTGCCTGGCTTCCTCTCAGGTGACACAGTGCACTTCCACTCTGTGCCAGGCGGGCTGGGCACTGCAGCTAGCCGGCCCCACATAGTGTTTACCTTGGTTTGTTTGGGGTGCTACCCAGGGGGACAGGGCCAGTGGGCTGCTGGGCAGTGTGCTGCGTTTGAGAAGTTTTGGGCCCAAGTTACAACCTTGGCACTTGAAATTGTGTTTGGTGCCAGGGGCATGGCAAGAGCACAGCCTTATTTGGGCTGGAAACTTCTTTGGATGGAAAAGAGTGGAGTGGGCAAGCAGTCTCCGTGTGGGCGGGCAGATGGGTGGGCAGATGAGCAGACAGTACTTGCTGTCCCAGGTCGGGCCATCCAGTTTGCAGATTATTTCAGCCTCTACCACAGCTCAGTGCTCTGCTGCCCTCAGCTGCCAGAGGGGCTCAGGTGTGCAGCTTTGTTGGGGAGTAAGTGCCACCCCCGAATACTCACACATTAAGTGTACAGTTCAGTGATGTGTAGGAGAGGCAGGGCCGTGTCCCCTGTCACCCCACAGAGCTTTGGCTGTCCTGTGTGTGAACATGTGTGTTTCTTTTCTTGGGTGAATTCTTAGATCTGGAATTGCTGGGTCGTATGGTGAGTTTATGGGAGATTTTGTTTTTGTTTTATTGTACTGGGGTACAAATGTGCAAGGGTGTTCTACCACTGAGCTCCAGCTCCAGCCCTTTTTATTTTTCATTTTGAGACAAGGTCTATTGCCAGGTTGCCTAGGCTGGCCTTGAACTCACCATTTTACATTCCTACCACCTATTACTAGGGTCTCAATTTCTCTACACTCTTGCCAACATTTGGTATTGTCTGGCTATTATTATAGTCATTCCAGTGCTTTCTGGAATCTCAGTGTAGTTTTACTCTATGTTTCCTTAAAGACTAATGCTGTTGAGCACCTTCTTATGTGCTATGAGACATTCTGTATCTCTGATGAAATGCTGAATCCTGCATCTTTATCTCACCAGAGGGGAAACAGAACCCAGGGCCTTGTGCATGCCAAGCATGTGCCCTACCACTGAGCTACATCCTCAGCTTTTGGCCTGTTTTTAAGGTGGGTTGTTTGCTAACAAAGAGCTGGGGATATAGCTCAGTGCAAAGGCATGGATTTAATCCCCAGTATTGAAAAAAAAGTTGCCTCTCTTATCATTGAGATAAAAGGTATCTTCATATCTTCATATATTCTAGATAGAAGGCTTTTACCAAATGTGTTGGCCTGTGATTTGATTTGATTTGATTTACTGTTTTTGTTTTTGGTTCTTTTGAGACAAAGTCTTGCTATGTAGTTTAGGCTGGCCTTGAACTTACTATGTAGCCCAGGCTGGCCTTGAACTTGCGTTGATCCTCCTGCCTCAGAGATTACAGGCTTATGCCACCACCCCCAGTTTGATTTTCTTAATACTCTTTTTGGAAGTGCAACGTTTTTTGATTTTAATAAAGTCCAATTTCACTGGGGATTTAGCTCAGTGGCACCGTGTCTGCCTCACAAGTGCAAGGTCCTGAGTTCGATTTCTGGTACCAAAAAAAGGTTCAATTTCCAGGTTTTTCTTTTATGGCTTGCTTTTATTTTATTTATTTGCTTATATTTTTATATTTTTGAGACAGGGTCTTGCTTTGTAACCCAGGCTGGCCTTGATCTCACGGTGATCCTCCTGCCTCAGCCTCCCATGTGCTGGGATTATAGGTACATACTCCCATGCCTGGATGGTTGTACTTTTATTGATGTGTCTAAGATCTCTAAGATCTCAAAGATCTTCTGTGTTTTCTTGAACACATTTATAAGTTTAACTGTTACGCTCAGGTCTATGATCTGTTCAGACTGAATTTTTGAGCTGTTTGTTGTTTGTTGTTGCATGTTGGCCTTTTGTCACTCTGACACAATCCCTAAGAAGAGCAACCTAACAGGGAAGATTTATTTGGCCCATGGTTTCAGAAGTCTCAGTTCCCAGTCCCTTGAGCCTGTTGTTTCTGGGCTGTGTCGAGGCAGAGCATCATGGCAGAAGGGTGTGGCAGAGGAAAGTTGCTCACTTCATGGCAGCTGGACGCAGAGGTGAAGGGAAAGAGCCGAGGAAGAGCTGGGGACAGGATGTACCCTTTGGAGCCACGCTTCATGGTGATTTCTTTTTCATTGAGAGGCTCCTCCTAAGCCTAACATGCCATGAAGTCAGAGCCTCTTCCTCCAATCACTTCTGAGAAGCCATCAGCTGGCCACCAAGCCTTCAGCATTTGGGATTTGGGGCTCTTCAAATTCAAACTGTAACACATGTGACTGTCCGGTCACCTAGCACCCTGGATAAAGACTGCCCTGTCCCACTGAAGTGTTTGGTGACTTGTTGACTCTCATTTGAGTGTGAATGGAGGGGCTTAGTTCTGGGTTCTTGATTTTATTCCATCGATCTCTATGTCTGTCCTATGCTGGTGCCACAGGTTGCACTAGGAAGCCCCATCATGGAGAAGAGGGAAGCTCCTCCTGCAGGAGGCACAGCAGGGGAACTTCCGGTCAAGGCGCCATGGCAAGCTTGTGACCCAGTTCTCAGAATTCTACAGAAAGGGGAACAAGAGTTTTAAAGGTGTTGGGCCAGGGATTTAGCTCAGTGGTTCCACTGCCTGCCTCGCAAGCACAAGGTCCCAAGTTCGATCCCCGGTACCAAAAAAAAAAAAAGAAATTAATGTAAAGGTGTGTGGTCACACTCATGAAAGGACCACGCCTGTCCTGTGTTCCAGACAGAAACACAGCCCAGAGGGGTGGGGGTTGTGGCCCTGGCCAGCAGCAGGGATGGTGAGAGCCTGTTCCTGAGGGTAATGGGGATGAGAAAGGCCAGTCTGACGGTGGGATCCTGGCTGGTTCTCAGGGAAGAGCTGGATGCTGGGACAGGGCTGCCTGACTCATCAGGGGGAGGGCAGCAGTACGGTTACCATGGCTGCATAACATGCCTCCCCCAAGCACCGTGGACAGAACTCCCATTTATCATGCCCGCGGCTTCTGTGGCTCAGGAATTTGGACAGAGCTCAGTGAGATACAGGACTGAAAAGGCTGCCAGCTTGCCTGGGGTGGGGGGCACTGACCCTGAGCGAAAGTTTGTCTCCCAGAGCTGCCCATGGCTCAGGCTGGTGCTCGTCTCCAGCTGAGACCACAGCTTTGCTGAGCTCTGCCTGGTACCTACCCTGAGGTCATTGTGCCCCAGGGAGTCTCAGGCCCTGGCTTTGGACACCAGGCCTGAGCACACTGCACAGTCTTATGGCTTTAGGTGCTGGTTATTTGCTGGCAACCCAGGGTGTTTAATAGACACGTCAAGCTCACAGCGCCCATAGCAATGCCTGATCTGCCGCCTCAGTAGGAGCCTGGAGGGTGCCCCCCCAAGATATGTCCACATCTTGATCCCCAGAATTCACAAATAAGACCTTATTTAGAATTTCAGATGCAGTTAAAGGGTCTGGAGATGAGATCATTACCTGGGTGGATCCCAAGTCTCATGACAAGTATCTTATGAGACACACAGGGGACAGAGGAGGAGGCCATGTGAAGACAGAGACTGGGGTGATGTGGTCACAAGCCAAGGACCACCAGGAGCTGGAAGAGGCAGGAAGGATCCTCCATAGAGCCTGCACCTTGAAGGCTCCACACCTGCAGACCCTGAGACATCAGACTGCTGCTCAACCCTGTGAGAGAGCAGGTTCTGCTGTTTCAGGCCCCCAGTTTGTGGTGATTTTTGTGTCGGCCACGGGACATGAATACCTTCCAGACTCACAGCCCAGCTCCTAAGCTGCTTGCCCCCTAATCTTGGAGTCATCCTGCATACTTCTCTCTCCCACCCTACCACATTTTGCCAGTACGTCCTTTGCTCTGCTCTCCAGGTATGCTGGAATCCACCTGTATCTCTACCCCACTGCTGTGCCCCAGCCCAGACCCCTGCCCCTCTGCCCTGGGGCCATTTTGCCTCCATGTGTTAGTTTTTCATTGCTATGACCAAATACCTGATAGCCACAATTTATTGGAGGAAAGGTTTGTTTTGGCTCATGGTTTCAGAAGGTTCAGTCCATTGTGAGTAGGCTCCAAGGCAGGACATCAGGCAGAGGACCATGGGGGAGGAAAGCTGCTCATCTCATGGCAGCCAGGAAGCAGCAGGGGAAGAGCCCTAGAGGAGCGACAGGGACCAGATAAAGTCCCCAAGGCTATACGCCCAGGGGGCCCTAGAGACACCCTGAAGTGGTCTCTACTGGTCTCCCAGGAGTCTCAAGCCAGTGCAGTTGACGTCAAGATGAACCATCACACTCCTTGTGCCCTGCCAGACCTTTGCCTGTGATCTCTGCTGCGGGCATTTTGTCTTTCTTCTCCAAAGCCAGTGCTCTGTGCTCTGCCTCGAGACTGGGCAGAAGCTCCAGAAACCATGTTCTCAAGCATAGCTCCAGAGAGGGACTGGGAGATGGGAGGAGGGACTTTGGCTGTGTTTTCCTGTCCTCTTAATGTGGCTCCAGCAGTGGCAGTCAGCTACCATCAGGGTCCCACAATCCCCTCCTTGGAAGAACCCACCCTGGGTCGCTCCTTTCTCCCCAGGCCCAGGGTGAAGATGTGCACCAGCGGCTTGAGTGACATCGCCTCTGAGTGTAGAGCCACCATTCCTGACTGGACCCCAGCCTTGGCTCCTGTGAGCAAGTCACAGCCGTGTGCAGCCAGGAACCCTCGGAAACACAATCCATGCTCCTCAGGCTCAGACCCCATGTGCTTCCTGGCCACAGAGGTAGGGATTCGGTCTCCTGCTGGGAAAGGGAGGACTGGAGCCCAAGGTGAAGTTTGGAGTGGTGACAAAATACATAAAACCTTACTCCAACCCCTGCTACAATATCTGCTACCCATTAGCTCAGTGACTTGTTTTTCTTTTTCATGTGGGACCCTGGGCCTGGCCTATGCTAGGCAAGTGCTCTACCACAGCCCTTGTTTTCTTTTTTTCTCTTTTCTTTCCACTTTCTTCTCCCCTCCCCTGACTCCCCCCTCCTTTTTCTGGCTGAGTAGTATTCCATTGCTTGTGTGTACCACATCCTCTTTATCCAGTCATCTGGTGGGGAGCACAGGTTATTCCCATCTTTGCCTATTTTGGACAGTGCTGCTGTGAACATGGAGCACAGTTTCCTCTCCTTTGGGGACACACCCAGGACTGAGATTGCTGGATCAGGTGGCAGTTTTAGTTTTATTTTATTTTTTTAATTTTTAATTTTTTTGGTTTTTTGAGACAGGGTCTCACTATGTATCTCAGGCTGCCTTCGAACTCGCAGTGATCCTCCTGCCTCAGCCTCCTGAGTGCTGGGATTACAGGCATGGCCACCTTACCTGGCACAGTTCTAGTTTTAATGTGTTGAGGAACCTCCATCCTGTTTTCCCTAATGGCTGTCTGATTCACTCATTCCCACCAGCAATGTATGCAAGTTCCCTTTTCTCCGCATCCTCACCAGAACTTGGCAGTTTTTGTCTTTTTGATATCTCTTTGTGGTTTTTGTTTGCATTCCCCCATTAGCAATATAGTTGTTTTTGCTAATTGTCTGTCTTCTTTTGAGACTTGTCTGTTCAGATCATTTGCCTACTGTTTAATTGATGTTTTCTTCTGATTTCCCTCCCCTCTGAGTCTTCTCATTTGAATGGCTACTCTTGACCCTAACTTAATTTTATAAAATCTCTCCTCTCCTGACTTCTCTGTCTCCTGCTTTCTTTCCTTTACTCCCTCTCCTCCCCTCTGCTCTTTTCTTGCTCTCCCCTCCTCCCTTCCTTTCTCTTCCCTTCTCTCTCTTTTTTCTTTTCTTTTTTGCAGCGCTGGGGAATTTAACCCAGGGAATACTGAGCTACATCCCTGGCCACATTTTTTGTAAATAACACATTTTTTTGAGACAGGGTTCTGCGGAGTTAGGCTGATCTCAAACTTGGGACCCTTCTGCCTCAGTCTCCTGAGTAGCTGAGATCACAATGGCATGTACCTCTGAGCCTGGTAGTCTTTTGCTTTCTTTTTACGAGGTGTTCGTCAGCTTTATTTTCTAAATCTGACATTTTGGTCTCAGTGCTTAAGAGCTCTTTGGTGTGTTCCTTTGTTATGGTGCTCTCTGTAAGTATGGCAGCTTCACTTTCTCTTTCCTTCCCTCCCTGTCCTTGGCATGTTCTTCCTCCTGCAGCATCTTTATTCCAAGTTGATATGCTGGATGGGGTGGCCCACGCCTGTAATCCCAGCACTCTGGGAGGCTGAGGCAAGAGGATTGCCACAAATTTGAGGCCAGCTTGGGCTACACAATGAGTTTGAGGCCAGCCTGAACTACATAGTGAGACCCTGTCTCAAAAAATAAAACAACCCCTAAGATGCTTCTCTCTGCCTCTTTCTGTCTGCTTTCCCTCTCTGACTCCTTGGTCCTTCCTTGGGCCCGATGCCAGTCCCACCTCTCTGAGCCCCACCTGGTCCTCAGGCTACTGCGTGAGTGGGGAACTGAGTGTGTCCAAGCTCACATAGAAGTGGCTCTGTCACAGTAAAGAATCCTTTCTGCAGATACATCGTAAACATCGGCAAGCAGAGCCATTTTATAATGAACATTATGTGACATAGTCACTTCTTTGCAAGAAGAGATTAAAGCTTTATTCCCATCAGTTATAAGATCTTGTGTGGAGAAAAGAAGGATGACTGCATTTCACTTGACTCGCATTAACTTTGAAAACAGTGCTTTGAATGTGTTCATATATCACCTCACCAGAGCTCGATTGGTGTTGTAGTTAGGGTTTTGGGAAGATAATACATTTACTATAGGACACATAGTTTATCGGATTATTTTATGATAATTACCCAAAAAGTCAAATGCAAAGGAGTGCAAGAGATTAACCGCACACTAGGGGCCCAAGGAATCCAGCTGAGGGCCTGGATCCCAGGAGTTTCTCACACAAGTCCAGCTAAAGGCTTAGAGTCCAAGGCAATGTCCTCCACGAGTCCAGCCAGTGGCCTAGAGCCCATGGCAGTGTCTCATGCTTGTCCTTATTGAGGATCTGCATCTGGAAGGCCCAAAGGCCAGTGGTGGAAGCCAGAAAACCTGCACCAGTAGGGTGAAGGATCTGTGCCACCAGGCTGAGGGATCCACAATGGAGCCAGGGAGTGATGCTCACCTTGAACATCAGAGCTCCCCTGATGAGAACAGCAGCCATTCCCAGTGACAGCGAGGCCCCGAGCTCCTCCTCCAACAAAAACACCCTGGTGCGCATCAGGAAAACCATCCACAGCAAGCTTCTCCTAGAAAATCAACAGGCCAAGATCTTCCCTTCAGGTTCTCTTTTAATGGCTATTGGTAAAAATCCTCAGGTGGATCTGCCACGCCCAGACCCCACTGATTCAATTCAGCTGAGCGTTAGACTTGCCCATTAGTCAATCCACCACAATTGGCTTGTTTAAAGACCATCAGGGCTGGGTGTGGTGGCAGATATCTAAAATCCCAGTGCTTGGGAGGGTGAGGCAGAAGGATCACCATGAGTTTGAGGCCAGCCTGGGCAACATAGTGAGTTTGAGGCCAGCCTGAACTGAACTATATATTGAGACCCTGTCAAAAAAAAAAAAAAAAAAAAGGGCTGGGGATTTAGCTCAGTGGTTTTGCCACCTGCTGCACAAGCGCAAGGACCCAAGTTTGATCCCCGGTACCAAAAAAAAAAAAAGGACCATCAGGTTCTCCATACCTATCTAGGACACAGTGAGCAAATCAGAACTTTAACATGCTTTGCCACATTAGAAATTAATTTTATTAATGTGCTTCAAGATGTTTGTCATTTGTTTTCCCCCAATCAGCAAGTATCAAAAAGCCCCAATGCAGATTACCATGTTTTTTCCTTATAATATTTGTGGATGAATCAGTGATTTCTGTTAAGCCATGTCATTATATTACAGTTATTTAGTGTTTTTTGTTTGTTTTTGCAGTACTGAGGACTGAGCCCAGGGCTCGGTGTGTGGAAGCCAGGCACCTTCCACTGAGCTACATCCCCAGGCCTTTTTAATTTTTTTTTGGTACTGGGGATGGAACTCAGGACCTTGTGCTTGTGAGGCAGGCCGTGGCACCACTGAGATAAATCTCCGGCCCAATTTTTCTTTTTTTAAGAGACAATGTCTTGCTATGTTGCTCAAACTGGCCTTGAATTTATGATCCTCCTTTCTCAGCCTCCCAAGTAGCTGGGATCACAAGCATGCACCACCACACCTTGCTTAATATTGATATTTATAAAAGCCGTATACCAACCTGTGTACTCAGGAAGCTTTAACTTACAAAAACACAAATATATGGTAAAGAGGCAGAAAGGCATAAGGCCAAGTTATAAACACCTCTGTTCTTTGGGATTGGATGTGATTCTAGCTGTTTTACTTGTACTTTTTTCTTTCATTATTAATGTTTTCTGTGATGGCAGCATTGGTCCTATGATTAGGATGGAACTTTCCCAGTTTTCCAGTTAGGCGGTTGACATGGTTGCAGCTGCTCCAGTTTTGCAGGGACACCAGGGACAGTCCTGTGCTCCCCACCTTAGCCTCTGCATGGTCCTGGAACTGTGGGCCTGAGACTCCTGGGTGGGAGGACGTGGGGTAGCTTCGAGGAGGGGGAAATGGGCTCGGCGTGTGTTTAAAAACATCCCCCAGTGACCATCTGTGGTATAGGTGGCTGAGGTGGGCCATTGTCACCCAAAGACTGCCTGGGAGCCACAGCAAGAGTGGGGAGGTGACAGTGCCAGGTGGAGCAGGCTCTGTCTGTGGAATATCTGTGAGTCAGATCATCAGAACTTGCTGACTACAAGGAACAGGGGAGATCTGCGGCTCCCGGCTCAGGCAATGCTGACTTATAGCTCAGGAAGCACTGCCCACATGTTCCTCACGACACTGGTATTTCTTCCATGCGTGGCTCACATGTGCTGTGCAGAAGGTCCTCACTGCTGGGGATGTGGGTGGTTGGAGATCTCTGGATTTTCCAGTGATGTCAGGCTGATTGGCATCTTCCAGCTATGCTGGCTGCCCAGCTCCCTGGGGACCTGGACAGGAGCAAGGAGGGCCACCCTATGCAGGAGGGCTCTCTGTCCTCATCAAAGTGCAGAGGGCTGCCTGGGTCAGCCACTGAACAGGCCCCAAGCACGTCCACTTGCTGGCTCAGGACTGTGTGTGTTTAGCTGACGGGAGAGCTGTGTATTTGTTTGCCTGATGTATGGGTTATGACGTGTAGGGACAGGCAGGGCCTCAGATGCTGGGGGTGGGGGGCATCTGACAGGAGCCCAGCTGGAGTCCAGGGATGATATCTCGGGATGGCTTTGGAGTGGTCTAAGCCTGTCCTGGAGGAGAGCCTCTCCTCCTTGACCTGTGCTTGGTCTAGGGGCGCCTGTGACCTGGTTCTGTACATGAGTGGAGGAGGAGTCGGCTGGAAGCCCCTAGGAAAGATCTTCCTTCTTCCTAAAAGGAAAGAGGCAATTAAGGGATACCATGGTTACCCTCATCTCACTGATGCTACAGCCTTTGAATGCATTTGTGTGAAGATGTGATGCCTAGGACTCTGCAGCCTTTCTGGGACTATGAATATGTTTTTGGACAGAGGCCAGAATGGTGCCAGATGGTGCCAGACCCACCCCCAGGACAGCTCCCTTTGGACTTTGTTTTGTTGTTGTGTTGAGATAAAATTCACATAACATAAAATTAACCACTTAAAAATGAACAATTCAGTGACATTTAGTACATTCAGTGTTGCATAGTCATGACATTTA